AACTACTACTGTAAACTGATAACTTGAAAATTACCATTACATGACATCACAAGGTGTAACAGAGCATTCAGAGCTTTGGAAATCTAGACTGAATAATAATAATAATAATAATAATAATAAAGGATTACTCAAGCATGTGTGAATGAAACAAAACACAAATCTAGATATATTTTTGAGTAAGTAACAACAGGCTAACACAACTAAAAGCTTACATGATTTGGTTTTGCGTAATATAGAACCTTAAATTTACTTCTGAAATGTATCAAATTAAAAAGCCAGAGATAAAACCAAGGTCAAAACAAGACTGAAGTCAGATTTAAGGATAAGAAATTAAATCTTTTTTACTGCACTATTACATGCAGCAGGTATCCGAGTACATAACGGCTTATCCAGATGTGTTGTTGGGATCTTGAAGGTGTCGTGAATCGAATCTCAATCGTAGTTCCCAGGTTTAAATGCATTTTGAGAAATTGTTTTAAATTGAACTAGGCCAGTTATCCGGTTTTCCTGGCTTGTATGTTAACATAGTGAGAAAACCGTGGTTGATAGAGCAGCCTGAGGACCCCCTACCCCCCCTTCCATGCTGTCAGACCAGTGCTCAGCTTCCTGTTCAGCACTGAAGTCTGTGGGAGGCAGACGCATGAGTCAGGCCTGTGTCACTGGGCCTTCGGGAGACTTTGCAGTGTTTTGTTTGCATTTTTTGGGTTTACACATGGCATACCAAAAATGTGATTAATCCACAGCAGGCCTTACTTGGTAATAAAATGTCTGAATGTTCACATTGAGCAGCACAAGTTCAGTCGGTGAAGAACTCGCTGTAATGCAGAGGATTACGATTTGATGCTGCTGCAGCATCTTTGGGCAAGACACTTCACCAGGGCTGGGCATCATTCAGAAGTTGCTGATACGATATGTACATAGGCCTCTACGATACATATCTTGATACACCGCACTTTCGATTTGATACAATATATTTCAAATCGATTTGGTACAGTTCAATAAAAATAAGGGCTCAATTATGACTGTGATACTAAAAGTCTTTGTTAAACTACTTCTTGTGCAAAGTGAATAGGAAAAACAGCCATTTTAATCATCAAAACAGTGAAAATGTCAAATGTGTTACATAAACAGGTTTCCTTCCTCTGAACAAGAAACTAAACTGTAGCGCTGTTACAAAATAATTTAGTAAAATATACCAAAAAATACTCTTGACGAAATATATCGATACAGCAGCCCACGATATTGGTACTTTATCATCACATTAAACAATATGATATATCAATGTTTTTGCACAATCCTACACTTCACCTAATGATTTTGGATGGATGTGTTTGACGTTGTGTTTCTGGCATTGATCGCATATTAATAGCTTTACCATTAATGCATTAAAATGTGGTGTAGCTGTTTGAAACTTTTGAAAGTGCATCTGGAATACTTCATTTCCAAACTATTAGAAGTACCTTACCACAACTTGGTCCTTTTCCATCTTAGGTTCTGGACTTTATTAATATTTGAATGTCCCAAAAGAAGAAAAAAAATGTCTTCATTACTGATAAAAAGTCATTACATCAAAACAAATACAAACTGAATATATTTAGTTGTAGCTATTTCCAAGGAGGACAACAAATTATTTCCCCAGCAGCAGCAGCCTTATCTTTGCCCTGCTGTAGCTGTGATTCCTCTTGGTGTCGAGCTGGCAGCGCCTTGGACTGTTTTTAATTGAAGATGTGAGAGAGGTGTATGGGACAGCCCGGGGCACAGGGGTGCACAGAGGGGGGGCAGGGTAAGAGGGGAGGGGGCTTGGGCACATTCCTCCACACAGTCTTTAAACTAGATCCTCTCAGACTGATAGACGGACCCACTCTGCCACCGAGACGCTTTCAACCTCTGATAACACTGCCCCGGGCCACGGCTGGGGATTTCTGCAATACACTCCGATTACAGCACGAATTTTAATGAAACCAACTCAAGTTTTAGGTTCAGAGACGTGGGTGGGACAAAGCAAAATTTATAGTTTCAAAACGATATTCACTCCAAAATGTTACTGAACACATGCTTCTGGTTGAACAAAACCACTTTGGATTTGATTAGCCTTTTAATATATTCTGTAGGTAATGAGAAACATTCTGTGCAAATTAGGGTTGCGCAATTACTCAAATTTTAATCAAGATTGAAGTTCAGTCATTTCTAATTGTCAGTGACGTGTTTGGGTCTTTTTAGGGGGTCTACAGCCAATTTTCTGTCAGTAAAAGCATTAGGATTTGGTACAAGTTCTCCAAAAAGTACACTTCTATTAGATTGACATTTTAACTCTCATTGCATTGTAATTACATTGAAAACATTCCTCTCCCTCTTAACCCTTCATCTGCCCATGTTTTTTGTTTCCTGGACAGAAAATGACTGTGTGTTTTAGCTGTACCCTCAGTGTTTGAAGGGTTTTGAAGTTTCTCTTTTAGGCACTAAGAGAGCTCAAGTGCTTACAGATGTGGTCACTCCATCCCACTCACTGCAGCGCTTAAATTGGTGTGGTACGTTTACTTACTTGAATGCATACTACTAAAAAGACAAACAAAACAGTATAGAACCAACTGAAAATGAGGGTATTTTTTTGGGTTATGGAAATAATGCAAAGTAAAAGAAGACCATTAAGACATATTTTTAAACAATTACATACATTGGTGATCATTATTTTACATTTTGTCCATTTTTAATCTTCAAAATACAGATCTAAAACGACTTCATAATAAAAATGGTGGATTGACTGATTGGCCCCACCCCCCACAGCAGCATTTCACTGTAGCATGAAGCTAATTTTTTGGAAAGGCTGGCACCACCTAGTACCTTTGCTCAATTTCATTTCTCTCCAGCAACTAGGTAAGGAATCGGAATACACTAGACAGTTTGCAAGAACCCTGGAAGTTATAGACCACTGGCCAGTCAGAGAAGAGCTGTGAAGCCATGACGTCAAACTCAAGCGTCTGTCTGGGTCCCATTTTGTGGTACAGCACAACAGTAAACAAAGTGGTTGAGATGGATGTAGATGAAGCCATACATTCTGTGTTGGCAATGATTCTCGAGATCGAGGATTTAAAGCTGGAACAAAGAGAATGATTGGTGAATTTTATCAAGGGGAAAGACGTTATTGCCCTTATTCCTACGGGATTTGGCGCATTACATATGTTACTACCAAATAGCAGCGATTGGTTAAATGAAAAAAGTACCCACCTACTGTCGAGCGAACAAATTCTAATGCTGTGAAGTCAGACGGTTTCCATGAAGTGAAACCGGCTGATGAATCAGGCTAGCAAATTTTCATTCATCTTAAAAAAATGGCGTGACATTTTTGTATGTATGTATGAGTGTCGTATCTTTTGAATAATCATGTACAGGGCAGTGGGGAGAGATGGGGAGGTAGGTGAAAACAGAATTTTCTGAGCACCCAAGCCTCAAATACATGGTGATACAGGTTTACTCAAACATGCATCAGTGGATCAAAATTTTAAACACTGAATAAGCTAAATGATAAGGGATCGCCATTCTAACTAGGGATGCACCAATCCGAAACTGGTACAGGATATCAGTGCCAATATTGAAAAAAGCGCTAGATTGTATATCGGCTCCCAAATATTGGTTCAGCCGATATTCTAGTTGGACACATAAATTGGTGTGATAAGACTGTTTACTGGTCGTAGTTGGCCCAGAGAGTCTCATAATGTTTGAACTTTTATTTATACATAGCTGTTCTATAGTTACACGAGGGATAAATTACAGCTACGTAACACTTTTGGATCAGTTTCATCTTATTTTATTTTTGTTTTGGTGTTTTCAGCCTCTGCACTGGTATCGGTTGATATCCGGTATTGGCAGATACTTATTTCCAGTATTAGAAAGCCATACTTGTACAAGGAGTCTGTGCCGACATTTCCATGCAGAGCCTCAATGTTTACGCCTATACAATGACTTTTATACACAGACCATAGTGGGAGGCTACCATGGTTTAGACTTGGCACCTCTTTGGTGCACAGGCCAGCCAGACCTCTTGGCACGATGCACAGTCCAATCAGACTCCATCCGGGGGGTTTATCTGGCTAACAAGTCATGACTTCATCCCTATCAGTGGTTCTTGTTCTATTTAGTTAGTTTGCTATTAGATAGTTTGGAATATCTTGTATTTGTCTTGACATACACTACCAATCAAAAGTTTTAGAACACTACACTTTTTCCAGTTTTTACTGTTTACTGTTGACCAAAATGTATTCTAAACATTTGATTCATGAAAGTGTCCACTTTTGGCAGATGTCACAGCTGAACACACTCGCGGCATTCTTTGTACATTAGAAATCAAATATTCTTCAGAAAGTTTTTCCCAAGTCTGTTGCAGAAGTTCCCATAAATGTGTGGCACTTGTAGGTTGCTTGGCTTTCACTCTTCTGTCTAGTTCATCCAAAAATCAGCTTGATGGGGTTTAACTCTGGACACTGTGCTGGACACTCCATGTTTTCAAGTTTACCATCTTGTTAGTTTTTCCTGAGGTAGTTTTGGCAGAGCTTAGACTTGTGTTTTGTTCTTTTTTTTTAACCTCTGGCTGTTCAGTACTTGCCTTTGTACCATTTCAAGCTCTTCAATGGACTTGCACAACTTGAATTGCAAGAAATAACTGGAAAAATTAGGGTGTTCTAAAACTTTTGACCAGTAGTGTATATATGAGTCTCACAGCTGTGATCAGAGCCCTTATCTTCAAATGACTTCAGAACAATAATGAACTATAGAAGTGATTATACAAAATAGCTAAGCCTAGTTATTTATCCTAACAGCATCCCTAATTGTAACATGGTTGAAAGCTCATAGGAATAGATTTGACGTAAAAGTACTCGGCCTCAGCTGAATTCGAAATTAGGACCTTTTTGGGCAAATGCAATTGATTAAATTCCTGTTTTGTATGTTCGTTTTTACCTCTTAAGCTCAATAGCATTTCTCTCCCTCTTTTTTTTATCCCTCAGGTCTTGATGCAGAGCTGTACTACGTTAGAGACGACGTGGTGAATTACTACGCACTCTCCTTCACTCTGCCGGTGCCCAGTGACACCAGCAGCCTGCACTTCACCTGGCACTCCAAAACAAAGGTGAGGGATTCTGATGCTAATTGAAAGAAGAAGTGCTGTGGTAAAGTATTGTTATGGTAATGATGTTGCGCTGTCTCTATAGGTTGAATACAAACTGGCGTACCAGGTGGAAAATCCTATGGCCATGAACGCACCCCAGAGCAACATCTCCAGTCAGGGGGAGCTCCCTCGGGTCCCATCTGGTTTGTCAATCTGTTCTGTTCGTACAATTAGACACACGCAGACATTGTTAAATATTAGGGATGTAATTATATCCAAATCTCACGGTACGATATTATCATAATATGCATCGCGCGATACAATATTTATTGCGATATTTTAAAGAGGCTAATATAATTGTAGATGGGACACTTTTTTGCTTTTAAAATACCGTGACAAGATTTTGGTGTGAATTATTACCGTCATAATCCCAAGAATTCAAGTTCAGAGTTCATGTTGTCTGCACTGAAATGAATCATGGGATATGTAGTTCCCGATGTTTATAAGCTGTTGCTACTCTAAAACCATGCATTTAAGCAAAGGAATTTGTAATTTGATATATTGTGATAGTCCACAATATTATTGTGAGACTTGTGACAATACGATAACACGATATTTCGGTTATTGTTACATTCCTATTAAATATATTCTATCAAATTACTTTTATGTCACAAATTGGTTGGATTCTCAAATATTAATTTATTTAGTTGTCAAATATTAAACCGATACTTTCATCAACCATTCACTTGAAGTTAGAGATCATTTTACAACAACACCGAGAAGACCAGAGAGCGCTATAGAAAGTTAGGACATAATAAAATGCTCAAAATACATAGGGCTGCTCGATTATGGAAAAAATCATTATCACAATTATTTTGGTCAATATTGAAATCACGATTATTCAAATGATTATTTTTTTGTTTAAACACTGCATTTATTCAGCATTTTTCTCTAAAAAAAACACTTATTACTATCGATAATTTACACAAAACATTCAAAATGAAAATAAATATAGGCTACAAATATATACCATAGAGCAGTTTTGCGATGTATAAACCATAAAATGTATCAAATATACTTAATATACTGAACATGAAGGTGGGGTAGAATAATGAAATATACGCACTGCCTCAACAAAATTTCTATGCAGGCTTTCATAAATCAGGCTCTGGGTCTATACTAAGACTAAACATTGACCAGCCAAAGGAGCCAAATTGTTTGAAAGTCAATGTTTTCAAATGTCATTTTCAATATTTTAAGTGTGTTCATTATTGTTTTTCTCATAAGCTACAGTAACACAAAGTACAGTAATGTAAAGTCTAACATTTATTTTTGCTACTCACACAGTCAATGTTTGGCCAATATTAAAATATACACTGAAAGGACAAATGTTCCAACTAAAAATGTTGCGTATCATTAATCCAAAATCACCTCTAATTCATCTGAGTGTTTGTTTGCAGTGTTCAGAGTGGACCTGTTCTGCTCGGGGAAGGTGGACGGAGAGGCTGTGGTGACTGTGCAGCTCAATCTCACCGTCCACGCCAACAACTACACAGTGCTCAACTTCAAGAGGAGGAAAATGTGCTACAAGAGTCAGTATTTCACTATATAATGATACAAATGTGTTAATTACAACAATGGAGCTGTAAGGGAGATTGCAGAATGTAAAATAAAGTTTTGTACTTTTAAATTGTAAATCCAGCTCTATATTAATGCTGCTGCCTACTTGCCAGAAACAAAACTTTTTTTGTACATGTTCATTTTATACCATATGATGTCAGTATGCTCTCTATACTTTAAAACTAAAGAGCTAGCCTTATTCGGATACAATGGCGTTGTTATTGTATTAACAGAACTCTGACCATATTATTAAATCACTTGAAATCCATCCTCCATTTTCAATTTTATTAGTACTGTAATATCCTTTCTCTTTTTTTGTCTTTAGAAATAGATCCTGATCCAAACCGTCCAACTCTCCCAAACAACACGCTGCCAAGACCCGACTGTAAGTACTCCCCTCTCTCTACCTACTCTGAAAAAACTACTCTTTATTTATTAGAGTGAAGTGCCAGTAGATCAACCCCAGCTGCCTTTCCTCCTACAACTAAAACAGCCAAGAGGGTCCTGATCTTGTATGGAACAGGGTCAGCCCCCCACCTCTTTCTCTCCCCTGGCCCGCTTGTGGATTGGGGTTATTCACGCTCTTTGTAAGCCCTCTGCCCAGTAACAAAGTGCCATTAGCGGGCTGTCTTTCTGCTTGGGTAGGCCTAAGGAACCTGGGGCCCTCGGAGGATTCTGTATTAGAGGAGGTAATGAGAAACGCTTTCAGACATGGGCCAATGAGAGAAACTGTCTCGGTCTGGGCATCCATTAACCCTCACACGACCTCCTCTGGACACTTGTATTTGTAATAGATCAATCTATAGATGGTATATGTAAGCCTTCCAACAAAGTGTATGTATCATGATTTCTATGGTATTTGAAGAGAGCACAACTCAGATTACATATTTGCTTTTCCCAAGTCTGTAAGTGACAGACGATTTAACCAGTCACAACCAAGCATGACCTTTTAGAAGAAGCAGCTAGGTTTAGTTTCTTCTTAATTTTTATTTTTTATTAGGGGTGTAACGGTACACAAAAATCATATTTCAATACGTACCTCGGTTTTGAGGTCACAGTTCATTTTTGGAACAGTGTGGGAACAAAATGCAAAACCATTTGTTTGTTGTTTATTTGTGTTTTTATTGAACCAACAATTTGTTTTAACATTATACAAACAGAGAAAAATAAAATAAATGCAAAGTGCTGCTTGGTAATACTAATAAGTTTATTAAAATATTCTCAAATAAGCAACAAATGTATGAAATATTATAAAAAATAAGTTCCTTGTAAACAGTAAACACAACTTTTCAAAAAGTATAGCGCAGGACTAACAGTTCCAGGATGAAGTTTTTGGCCAGAAAAAACAACTTATCCACATTGTTTGCAGTAAGTGTAGATCTGCTGGCAGTTACACAACGCAGTAGTTTTGCAAGGATTCACGTGGTTCAGAGGGATGTAAAATATGGATATTAAAGAGTCAAGCCTTCCGTGTAGCTGCACATGTAGTGGTGGAATGTAACACACACAAATTATGCAAATTCACTCGTGCACTGCCCTGAAACTGTTTGGCATGAATAGATGTACCGTTATGCCCCTATTTTTATGTATTTATTTTTACAATTATCATATAAAGTAGTAATTTATATGTTTATATCTGCTAAATACCCTTTAAAATTATGCAAAAATAAATATGATGTCATACAATTTGAGAACAGCATCTCTCTATTCTTCCTTATTTTTTGTTTCTGTGTTTTTGTTCTGTTTTCATCCCAGTAGATGTGACGACCCCCACCACCTCCACGCAGGTCTTCTACATCAGTGTTAGCGTGTGCTGCATCGTCATCTTCCTGGTGGCGATTATTCTGGCCATTCTACACCTGCACAGCATGAAGAGGGTCGAGATGGAGGACAGGTGTGGCACATTTTACTGCAGATTTTCACTCTCCCAGAGCTCCAAAATGGGTCACCTGAGCGTTGTAACGAGTTTGAGCAAGCATGTGAAAAAGCTTAGTATACTGAAATTAAACTGCAATAGGCTCCAGGGAAATTTGTGATTTAATATTGTTGGAAATCAGATCACATCCTTCCTGTTCATTCTATACCTACTCTATACTCTAAGCCTGGTTTCACAGATTCAGCTTCACCCACGGCTCACTAATTTAATTTATACAGAAAACATGAGGTAGTTTATGTTCTCGACCTTATTGCTTGCCTAAGTATTATGTTTATAATGATATATTTAACACATGCAATATAGGTTGTTGGGTTAGGTTTAGAAAAATAATGCCTTGTAAAGGCTATAGACCTTATTTATTTAAAATCCTAAATTGTATTAATTTATATTACCGTATTTTCCGCACTATTAGGCTCTCAGGATTGTAAGGCACACTGTCATAGAATGGTCTATTTTTGAACTTTTTTCACAAATAAACCGCACCGTACTTTAAACGAAACTCAACAGTTAGATGGGTCAGTCGGACTTTGTTTGGCGTGTTCACGGTGACTCTCGGCTTTGTTCAATTGTGGCGTGTAGGGCGGGTGCTGTCTGGGACCGCTGGATTGTTGGCATGTTCGCAGTGACTCAGTTGTTCAGTTGTGGCTAGAAGTGGCACATTGCACTCGCTTTTTCGGTTCGTTCCTCCATTCTATTCCTCGTCCGCGTGGAGTGATGAATGTGGCTACGGGTGTTTTTCGCTGCGCGGTCGCTGTCTGCTCTGTGTGTGTTTGCGTGCGCTGTGGGTGTTGCGGCTTAGTAGTTTACTGAAGTCGTGCTGGAACATCCGAGTGGATTCGTGTATAGGGCGCTCTGGATTGTGGGGCACATATTCGTTTTTTGATGGGGTTGGAGACTTAAGAGCGCGCCCTATAGCCCGGAAAATACGGTTTGTTTGTTTGTTCTAGATTCAATGTTTAAGCAAAACTATTATTAAACATTTATTTTAATAAGAAAAGGTTTAACATTACATGTCTCAAAAGAAGAGAAACCATGCAGATGTTGTTGAAATATTTCAATAAATATTTAGTTTGGCCCATGACTTAGTCCCAGTTTTTAATTTTGGCCCTTTGTGAATTTGAGTTTGACACCCCTGCCATAGACTGTATAAAGAAGTAGACTAAGGGAGTCTGACAAATTTATTTACAGTGTCTCGCGGGTTAGCTACAGTATGTCCATTTATATACACAGTCTATGGGTCAAACACAGACTAAACAACCCAGTCCTCCTATTGATTGTCTGTCATATTTCAGAAGCAGCAGAAAACTTTAGTAACATCTCAAGTCAAATTTTCAGTTTATCACCCTTCCTTATGTCACACCCTGCATGTAATGAATGTCACTGTGGATTTTAATGGTCATATTTCTTTTCTCCTGTAGTGTCAGTGACAGTGGGAGCTCTCAGGGCCTGTCACAGCCCTCCACTCAGACCACACAGTACCTCCGCGCCGATACTCCCAACAACGCAACCTCAGTCACCAGTAAGACCACCTACTCCATACCACCACATTGCACTAACCTCTTAATAAACTGCATTATTTACTGCTGTGTATTTCTTTAAAGTGCTTTTGCAATAATTGAATATTAGAGCACGTCAACAGGAACATTGGTGCACAAATGTAGTTTTTCCTTCATAGTGGCAGTAAAAGCTCTGCATGCCTCTCTAAATGTGATAACAGCCTGTGAATGCCCTAATTCAATATAATGGTGTCATGAGATTTAGATAAAAAGCAGTTTTTAAATTTAGTGCAATGCTTTGGGACTCATTCATTTCTGAGATGTAGCATAGCAAAAATTATTTAATTTAGTTGTGTTTAGTTTTAAGCTGTACCACCTAGTGCTTTTTCTACATTATAACAAAGGAAGGGCAGATATTTAATTTGTTTACAGTGAAAATGCACAGTGACAGAAAACATTCATCTTCTGAATATAAATCTAACACTGTTGATCCTGTTTTTTCTTTGTCAAGTTTTGAAATTAAGATTTAAATGCTGTTTTTAACATATTCTACTTTTATTTTTATAAATGCAACATTTACAATCTTTAAAACATTGTTTTTGTTTTTTTTTGAGCTGCCCTAAATCGTAGTGTGTAGTGGTTAAGGCCAAACAAACAAAATATTCAGTATTTTTACTTCATGCTTAAAACGATGAACGAACCTGACAAAAACTACATTCTCAAGGCTTTAAATTCTGTTGGCGTTTTTGGCTGGTACCTACTGTAATTGTGGGCAGGTCTGCACTGTATTAATACAAAGGAGACATAATCTGGCTCGACTTTGAAGAAAATCCTGGCCCCACAGGAGTTCGTGATATCAAAAGGCTGCGTGTGAAAAGTGAAATCTTCCAGCTGTAACTGTAGCATTATGTAAACCACATATACATTTTTCACAGGAAAAAAGTTTCTGTATTTTATCTAAAAATAAGTGTAATGCAGCACAATTCAACAGGGTAGAGTTACTATGAATGGGAACGATAACATTTTCTATGTTGATTTTATTTAGGACAAAGGCTTTTGAGCCAGACTAAGTGAAATAAACATTTCTATACGTAACATATTTTTGTTTCTTTTTTTATATCTCCCAAATAGGACTAAATGATGATGGAATAATATTGAAACTGAGATTTTGGTTGCGTTAATCTTGCTGCTTTGTTCTTATCCTTCCAGCCACAAAAAGAAAAATAGAACAAGTGAAAGTGTCTCTCTAACTTATTTGTATATTCAAAATGAAATTTGAAATTACTGTATGACCCAGCAGAGTTGATCAGACCATTGACCATCACAAGACCAGCCCTGATTTCTCTAATCAAATAATTATCATGTATTGCCTCCTCTTGTGATCCTCAGCATTATGAAATGATTTGAACTTTATTAAATCTGTGCTTTTGGCTGGGGCTACTAAAAGGCTGTTCTGTACTGTGCTTTTGATGCTGTGAGATGCTTTGTCCAGATGAAGTTTGACATGTTTACCATTTAATTTACTTACTCCCCTAAAAAGTTTTGAGCCTGTCTGTTTTGTCAATGGTGTGCTGGCGCCCTCTTGTGGATAATACTGGTCATATCTGTGCATTTGTTTAACCCTCTTGCCTTTTGTATGTCTGCATTTGTGATTGTTTTTTCTGCCCATCACTCTTTTAATCCACCCCTGTCTGATCTCCCTCACCTCTTCCTCTCCATCAGATAATCACCCTGGCTCTGCACCCATTCTCCAGCTTGCTGCCTCCTCCCTCCAAAATCCTGGTGTCCCCCCTCACGAACCTAAAAGTAAGTGCTAGTCAGGTCTCCAAAATAAAAAAATCAAATAAAAACACACAATCTGCTCAATGCCATGTATATCAGCAATACATTTAATATACTTGCTCCGATGGCATAACATTTGTAGAAGCAGTAATCAGGTTGGAAGTCTGGAGTTCGTCATATCACCTGCGTCTTTAACTAACATTTCTGCCACTGTCTGTCAGCTTTTCAATGTTGGTCAAGTATGTTACACTCAAACAGGTCTATAATTGGAGCTAAAATGTAGTCATATACACCAACTAAACTAAGATCAAGTGACAAATTCTTTTTACTTTTTCTTGAATGCTTAGAGACTTTTTGACATGCTGTTTTAAACCACTAGGGGGCATCCCAAACTTTCTCAATGTTTTCCAGTGTTACTTTTATCATGTGAGTGTGAGAAATTTGAAATTAAACCCAGCACTCTCAGGCTGTCTTGGTTGGCCTCTCTGTCCACAAAGTAATGCAATCTTGACCCCACATGTACATGGATATATCATGGATACATAAAATTCATTTTAAATGTTTTTGTTGTGTATAAATATATAAATTAAAATTCTGTATCGTAGCTATCAGTTCAAGCTTTTAATTAACAAGTGTACTTTAGAGTTAGATCTTGTTGTCTTTCATTCCTGGCTGGTGTATATTTGGGAAGTTTATGTAGAGGCTGCAGTCTAAGCTTATCCTATGTCATGGTCTGAGCTCTTACATAGATACAGTGTTGCGTAATAGAGCTGCTGTAATCGTGGACTAGGTTTGAAGCAGGATGCAGGTTTCTTGTAAATGCTGAAGTTATTTGAATTTGGGCTCCTTTCTTTGGTATATGACACATGTAGGGGAATATTGGCAAACACTGTGGTATGCAAGTTACCATAGTTGTTGGCCATTGTGTCTTAACTGAGGCTTCAAATTGAATGTATCATAGACTGTAGATAACTTGTACTAAATGTAGGCACTTGTCATTTTTGTGGCAATGCATAATTTGGTTTGAAGGCCCCAAACACATTTAAAAATGAATTAGAAAGATGTCATTATTGCAACACATCAAGTATACCCTGAACCACTGTCTCCAGACCTTGGATCATATAGTGAAGTCTCCTGTAGTACACGCACGTTTGTTTGTCCTGTCTAAATGAGCTGTCCGTCTGTGGGCCCCTCTTAAACATGTGTGTGCCTGTACAGGTTACCCCTCTCTGCGGATTGAGAAGAACGACCTGAGGAGCGTCACTCTAATCGAAGCCAAAGCCAAAGTGAAAGACATCGCCATCTCCAGGGAGAGGGTCACACTGCGGGACGTCCTGCAAGAAGGTACTTTACCTACAATGCTTTTTACCAGGCTGCTCTGAAGGTTTATATTTTGAAGAGAACTATTAAGTTAATTTAAGGTATAAGCATAATCCATTACACACGCAACAATAAAACATGTTATAATGATTAGTTTTAATGAAAACAATTTTTACTTAAACAATAAGTGTTATAAGGACAGTCTCATTGACATTCTTGGAGATGGTCAGTACAATGACAAGTTCAATGAATAATACTGATGAACTAAAGGTGTCCAAAGCAAAATGTGCAAAATGTGAGAGTTTTAGATGATAGGAAGATCAAAATTTCAACATTTTTATCAGCAAATTAGATTCTTTTACTGTATTGTTGACAACCCCTAAACAATTTCACAGACAAGATTGTGTCAGGTGTTAAGCGCATGTATTGTATTAAAATGGCTAACCATCAGTGTTGGGAAGGTTACTTTTAAAATGTAATCCCCTACAGATTACACACCCCAAAATGTAGTTTGTAACGTAATCCATTAAATTACTTAAAGTGAGTAACGTAATCTGATTACTTTGGATTACTTGATATTGTCATGTTTTTTTAAACGACATGAATGTAGCAACCACATCCTGAAAATTCTTGTTTGTTTTCAAATTGTCTGAGCCCAAGTCTCCATGAATAAGCAACTGTTTGCTGTAGAGAAACAAAGACCACGATATCTTAATATAAGAGGTTTTGTCTGTTAAAAGACAGTAACAAGCTCAGTCTTTCCTTCACCATATTAAAAAATATTATTGATAGAGAAATTATTTTTTATATGAGATCACCTTAAATTATGTCAACCTACTGTTAGGTGTCATGTTGTTTAGACCTGGTTTAGTCCTGATTTTTAGACCTGGTTTACTCCTGATTTTAGACCTGGTTTAGACCAGGTCTTTAGTCCTGGGTTACTCCTGGTTTAGTCCTGGTGTTAGTTCTGGTTTAGAGGCGCACAGGAGGAAGCGCGGTTTACGCGAGAAAACACAGTCCACACGCAGCGCACGAGACGGCGGTGTCCGCGCTGTAACTACGGAAGGAGATGTGGTCCACGGGTTCTCAGGTTGATGACGATGATGAAGGTGTGTGTTTGTGTGTGTTTGTGTGCACGTCCACTCATGTCGCAGGTCACTATATGACAGTAGTGCAGATATTATGAGTCTATGCAGGTTGTTTTCACCAGTGCCAGTAGCTCCTGTTTCACATTTAAGTTGTAGGCGATTTTATATTTGTTTTTTTTATATATATATATCTCACATCGGGAGAAGAATTTCCAAGACACAAATGCGTTTTTACCAATGCACTGCTGCTTCCACTGTGTGACTGACACCGCCAACTTTAACATGACGTTTACATCGCTCTTATTGCGCGCGTTCTGTTTGGGTTTCCGGCAATGAGTGGAATTACCGAAATAAAAAAATAAATAAATGGAATGTAGCACAAAATGTGAAAACAGGAAAATACCGCCTTGTAATCCACTTATTTCAGCAAAGTAACTGTAATCCAATTACCACTCATTGAAACAGTAACTGTAACGGAATACAGTTACTCATAATTTGTACTCTGATTACGTAACGGCGGTACATGTAATCCGTTACTCCCCAACACTGCTAACCATATATGCAACTCAAACGCAACAAGTGTCTGTTTCAAAAGTTTTATTTTATGCAAGAGAAGCGTTATAACATACCCTCTGTGTGTGTTTGCGAGGTACAACAAAAAAAATTGCTGTAATATATTTAAAATTAATATTTAGTTTGTCTTTTACTCTTTTAACGTTAAATTTCAGTCTCTCTCTTTTTAAAACACGCACATAGTTTTCAAATATGTCCATATACATCCTTTAGTTTCAGAAAGTATGTTGTTGTTTTTGGCATTTGTCCCCTTCAAAAGCTGGACTGCTCACGTTGTTTCTGAGAAGAGTTTCCAGTCCAGTACCAGTGAATGGGAGTGGAACACCCAGGAGGCCCCCATTGCTCACATCTGTTGGGATATCAATAAACCACATCATCACAATATTATTCTGACTGGAATCACACACACTGTAACTGAGGAAAACCATGACAACTGTTTACTATTCATATCCACAACTACCTTTTAACCTCTGACCTTTGAGGAGAGATGTGTTCAAGCAGCAGAGGAGAATTATTTACAAATCACACATAAAATACGTTTTATGTACTGGTAGCTTCATTTACTAGAGCACATGATGTTGTTTTGGCAGTGGTATAGTAGTAGGTGCAGTACTTCTGGTACAAAGGTTCCAGATCTTTTTTTGAGTATTACAAAAATGTCAAAGGGCTCAAATTACGTCATTTTCTTTTTCTGTTATAATGTTGTCAGAAAGATACCTGGAGTTATTGTGTTTTATTTCATTCACAAATTGTGCTGTTTAGACTGAGTTTTTCTCTCAAACAGAAAACACCTACGCAGTGTTCCACCTTGTGAGGTCATGTGGTAATACAGGAAGTGCTTCACTGTGTTTGTAAACTCCATGCACCTTCAGTTGAATCATTTGGATGATTTCAGCCCTGGAATTGGTAACAGGAGCTGTTAACTTGAAAACAACCGCATCATGACATCACAAAGTGGAATGGAGCACTTTGAGCTTTGGAGACGTAAACAGAGTTTAAAAAAAAAAAGATTACTCAAACGTGTGAATGAAACAAAATACAAGAGTGAATTTTGTATAATAGATGACCATTTTCAGGTCTGTACTCATCCCCTTGTGGCTTTATGTATTGATAAGGTGATGTACTTCTTGTCCTACTGATGATTAAAGACATTCTTAAAACATGCAGTGTAATTTGGAGATTTATGATTTTACTAACCAACAAGCCAGCTGTAACGACTCCCTTTTGTCATGCAAACAGTTTATCATCACGTCTCATCACATCAGTACATCTTACGAACCCAAAATAGTACGTTTGTTTTTTCTCGAGCATTTTAAACATTGACTTTCTCTGTGTCCCTTTGGCTCTAAATCAAAGTTTGAACAGCTCTCAGCGCAAGTGTCAGTTTCCTCTCGTCAGTGCTTTTGTCGATGATTCGTTGTGTCATTGAGTCGCACAGCTCAAGAACACAGTGCTTGACTTTTGGACATTTGCCCAAAATGTTTCTGGATGTGAGAAAAATAATTATGTGGCTCCTGTTGACCTCAGCAGTAGTTCATTTCCTCCCTGCTGAAACAGGGAAGCAGATTGGTCATATTGATTTTTAAGTTTTGTATCATGCAGTACTCCGCCTTTTTGAATGAAACTTTTATCAGTATACATTTTTTAGAAAGCATAAGCAGAAAGAATAAAACTACAGTATACCTTCTGGCATGTTTGTATGAGGAAACATAATTTTTCCAAAGTAGTGTTTGTAGCAGAATACTGGACGTTTTGGTATTCAGAGTTAATCCTTGTCATTATCTGGATTCAGGGTTAAATTGTAGCGCTATAACAGAAGTCAGTGCTCTTTAATTTACGTTTTAGTAAGTGTGAGCTTTTTCTTTGCTCAATAGTTACAATAAACAAAAGACACTTGTTCCTTGCAGCCTCTTGTCCTCTGTAACAAAAACTGAACTAATATTTAACCAGGAAACACAAGTCATTGAATTGAGATGGATTGCATTGACTGGAGCTGACCTGAGTAGACAGCTCCTGTGTGTTAAGGGTGTGCGTGTCTGGACAGGTTCGGAGGAGACGATGGGAGCGGGAGGCAGCCGCTAACAACACTAACTCTGTTGTTTAGCCTTCTCCCTGTGGTTGGCCTGGGGGCTGTGGTTTTTGCCATAGTTTACGCTGAGAGTTTATTTTCTTAAATGGTATTTCTATTCACTCACATCCCCGGGCAGCTCTGACAGTTTAGACAAAGAAGATGATGATTGTGGTTATCAGGCTTGCAACATCAAAACTGACTCTGGAGGAAGTGCTCAATTGCTTTAAATAAGTACGTGGTATGGTTTGTTGATTGTGGGGAAAAGTGTTCTTTGATGATTCAACATTGTTTTCGGTGTAAAATTAAACAAGTCTAACAAACAAATTTCCCTTGTGAATCAAGTTTTTCTCATTTAAGTAAAAATATAGCTCTTTGTTTTAATGTGGATTTAGGTCATTTTTTGCATGGATGGATTGAGTACAGCTTTCTATAGAGAGTAAATGCTACAGAAAGAACAAATGATTAACTGTTTAGACATAACTCTGCATTATGACTCAATGACAAAGCATTTTCTCCAAGCTTAGAGTTTGAGTCCAGGTCAGATTATATTTGATCTAATAAACCAAAACTAATAGAAAGTCAGTCAGCTTCCACCTGTTTACCTGCCATGTGTGAAGTAGTCCTCCATCTAAAATGCGTTTTGTATTGTCAGGCACATTTGGGCGCATCTTTCACGGAGTTCTGCTGGACGAAAAGGATCCAACCAAGGAGAAGCAAGTCTTTGTGAAGACAGTGAAGGGTAAGAACTTATCGTAACACTTTTTTTAGCGTACACTTATTAACATCCAACTACCTGCTAATTAACATAGTTGTAAATGGTTTATTTGTCATTCATTAGTATTTATTCAGCCCTTATTAATGTCTAATTCCCCTTAAGCCTATTCTGCTCTTAGTTAGACATTGACAAACACTTTGCTATTAATACACTCCTTATTACTGCTTACTAGTATGATACATTTTTGTCCATGAATTATGATTTTAATAAGCTTTTGGTAAAAAGGGTATTGTTAAGGACTAGTAGCATAAGAAATGTAGTTTTTGCTTATTTGTGCCAAAAGCTTATTAGAATCATAATTCATGGACAAAAATGGCCTAGTATCACATTAATAAGCATTAATAAGGAGTGTATTAACAGGAAAGTGTTTGTAAATGAATAAGCTTATGGGAAATTGGGCATTAATAAGAGCTGAATAAATACTAATTAATGACAAATTAACCATTTACAACTATGTGAATTAGTGGGTAGTTAGATTTTAATAAGTGCACTGTAAAATAAAGTGTTACCGAACTTATAATCCACATCATTACCAAACACAGCTTTACTGCAGCTACTGACAGAACTCCAGGTCTCTACATTATTATGCCTTATTTGACACTAGTCTCTTGCTATTTTTGCCACTAATTGTGAATGTATTATTACCATTTATATTTTTGCTAAAGTAGAAGTCTATAATGTTATAATAATGTCAGATAGGCTCATTCTTCTGACTCAATTTTCCTTTTTATTATGTTAAAGCTGAAGGATAGTAGCGGGGGCAAGCGTAGAGAACTTTTCAGATAATGCCTTGTTAAAATTTTAATGAATTATTTCTCATGTTATCCATTGACCTTTCACCGATGTCCTCTGGAAGGGGTGGATACCGCACTCCCAAACAATATCGTCAGTCCTGCCAGTCTGCTCTGTGTTCAAACCCCCTGACTTCCTTCTCTTGTCCCTTTTGGGAAGTGAACAATGCCCCTATTCCACGGGTCACAGGCGGAGCACGCACATATTACAGAATAGACCCCGATGAGTTTGAGTTGGCACAATTTGTTCGTTTCCTTCGCACTTTCCCACTGAGCATGATAGCAGACAGGAAGCAAATAAAATCCACTGATAAGACTGAAGTTGTGATGTGGACTGTTGCATTTATATATTTTATTTTATTTGGAAAGTCAGGACGAGGTCAACAAAAGGCAGTGGGTAAAGTGATATTAGAAACAACACAAATTGAGCGACTGATGTAGACAGGTGGCCATCATATAAGCATGACTATTCCAGGTGAGATCGGTGCATAGTGTTGTTGTGTCCTTGGGTATGACACTTCATCCACCTTGTCTAAATTTGGATTTAGTTCATGAGATATGGTGGATGGAGTCTTGTCATCTGCACCTTGAAATTGTTGGAGAGCAAAGTCTGGACATTAGACTGCTGGTTTTGTGCCTTACTCTGGGGAAAAAAAAGTATTTTAACTATTTAATTTTTTTGTTTTGTAGATCATGCATCAGAAGTGCAGGTGACCATGATGTTGACGGAAAGTTGCAAGCTTCGCGGACTTCATCACAGGTGAGCGTAAACGAAAAACACAATTGTAGATTTGTAGATTGAAGTTAATCATTAGCCACATGCTCTATGGTCTTGGTAAAGTTTTAATACAGCTATAAAAAAAAAAATCTATTCATGTACTGGGTTTCAGTATTTGCGTAAGGCGGTTCTGTCTTTCACACTAGATTCTGCTCCAGTGAATTGGTTATTGCATTAGTGTTGACTGCTCGTTTGTCCTGGGAAATGGGTGCAGTAAAATTTTTCTCTTTTTACCCTGGTGACCTTTTAGCCCACATTCAAGCTACAGTGATATGTTTACAAAGGGCAGTAATGTTTTTCAGTAATTTCCACAGTTAAAATAATTCAAGATTTAAAGCAATGAGTAATCCTAGATGTTACTGACATGTTGATATCAGGCACAGATGTGAAACCACCTATTATGAGCCTGAATGATGATGCTAATATGACCTAACACTCAGTGCAGTTCAGTAGGTCAAGATAATAAACAGAAACTGTAAACAAGTAGGTGTGTCTGTTTCAGAGTAGTTTCATTTTAGTTGGCTCCTCCCTGCAGACAGATGGAAAACAGTATTCTGACAAAACTGAATAAGCAGCTTGGATGAACTTCGTATTTAACCAAAATAAACTTTTGTCCAGTTGTCAAATTGAATTTCCCCTTTACCATCAGACATAGACTGTATAAAGAAGTGAACTAAGGAAAGTGAACTATAGGGGTGAATTTGGAGTTGAGTTCTATATTAGGAAAAATGACAAAATAAAAACACCTGGATGATGTAAAGATGGTAAATGCAAACATTTTAAGACCAAAATGACCAGGCTCACTGCAGCAGTTATATAAAGTCAGTTGGAAACAGAGTCTTTAAAACTGGAAGTATCCCTGTGTTTACTTAATAATTGGAATGTGGCAGCTAGCGGGTTAGCTTTGTCCATTTATATATGTAGTCTATGTATCAGGATTTTACGACATTCCCCTTTCTCCATCAGAAACCTGCTGCCCATCAGTCATGTGTGCACAGAGGACGGGGAGAAGCCAATGGTGCTGCTGCCTTATGTGGCCTGGGGCAACCTCAAGCTGTTCCTGCGTCAGTGCAAACTCGCAGAGGCCAACAACCCACAGGTGAGTCAACGGGAGGGAGAAATGATGTACATTCGAGTCATTATGTGAATGATTCAGAACTTTTCTTTAGCTCAAACACCTTTGTGTTACACGGGATCCAGAATACACGTGTCTTTAATATTTTACAAAGATGTGAGTTTCGTCAGTTTCGTCACAGGTGAATCTCCCCGAGTTCTTATGGGCGTGTTTGACAGAGACATGCATCGTCCGTGTGTATCAAAACAAATATGGCTGCATTTGAGGAAAAAAAATAGGAAGATGAGTTCCTTCGTTTCACTCACGTCACAGAAAAAAACAAATCTGATTGCTCGATCGTGTTTGGTTCTGGTTTGAGTCACTGGATAAAAAACACAGAAACATATCATTCTAGATTTGTCAGGCAAAGGATCATGCTGTATATTTTGGAACTTTCCTTGTTAAATAATGGTTCAATAAAACAAAATGGGCCCTTTCATCCTCACAGTGCTTGGCGTGTGGATTCACCCAATCCCAGTGAAGTGTGACCTCTTAGTGGAAACAGAACAGCTTTAATGACCTCTTAAGGCAAGCTAAACCACATGAGTCGTGACAAAATGACTCTCAAAACCATTACCATCCTGCCTCTTTGCTGTAGATCATAAATGCACCTGGGGTTTGTAAACTGTTAAAACAAGTGAAAAAGTGTACACACACCAATCCCCTCGCACCCCGGTCTAACTACTGTTTACGCTCTGATTAGAGGCCTGTTGATAAAGTTATGAAGGAGTGCTCAAGGCACAGATTTTCATTCAGCGCATAAAGACAATATGACTTTTGTACAGAGGAGTGTTTGAAGTACTTGGCAATGCAACAGCGCAGCCCCAAACCACTCAATCAGCTCCAAAATACAGATGTAGCGATCACAAGATGCAGCTTGCCACAGTTTACATTCATCAAACCTTCTTTTGTGAAGGCACTGCTAACACATCGCAGCTCGGATCTCGTCAGGATCATTTCTTAGACCTCTGGCACCTGCGCGAGACAAAGAGCCAGTCATTGAGCGATGCAATTGAAGTAAACAGGAGGGCTCTGAAAAAACACTGTTGAAACCGCACATTCTAAACATTTTATGGGCTGCAAAATGTAAATAAGAACTACATTCAGTGATAAAAGATTAATATGTTTTAATGTTACGCACACTGCTTTCACCCTACATGGCATGTCTGTATTTTAAAGTACACGCAGTACACCTTATTGCACCTTTTTATGAAGTTTGACGTATGCATTTTCTCCCTGTTCATGTTTGGTCACTTTAAGTAATAAGGTTGAGGAAATCTAAAAGTAATTTGAATTCTAATGATGACACGTTGTCTCTAAATAGCTGCTATAAAGTGAAAGTAAAGTGTAAAAAGGCACCATCTGTTTCTGGACTGTAACTAAATACATACTTTGTCTCTAACAGATGTTATGTTCCACACATTTAAAGTTAGTCTGGGCTCAAGTGTTTTTCTTTGCATGTTGACATCTTATCTGAGCTCACTCCCCGCTAAGACTGTTTTCCATGTTCTCGGAGACTAATTAATGGGGTTGGCCCGTTTCCCACTGTCGGATAAGATTAAGAAATCTGCAATGTCTCTGTATTAAGCAGAAATACAGTGTAATTGATTAGTGCACCTTGGAAGGAGTCAAGGTTGCGTTTTGAACCTAGATATTTTCCTTGTTTTTGCTGGTTCCGTGTGGTAGTCCGTGTATAAGGGGGTATACAGCTGATTGCTCAAGTCAAGTTGAGGTATGTCAGGATTAAACATTTTTACATTTATTTGTGATTGTAGATGCAAATTGGGGAATAATTAATCAAAACAATGTTAGGACCCTCATTCAAATTGGGAAAACATATAGGAAAAGAATTAAAGTTGGTTCCATTAAAAAGGTATGGCATCTTCAATCAAAGTAAATTAATACATTTTTGTGTTTCCGTATTTTCCATGCTGTTGCTCTGTGCAGGCGATCTCGCAGCAGGACCTGGTGTACATGGCCATCCAGATTGCGTGTGGCATGAGCTACTTGGCCCGAAGAGAAGTCATCCACAAAGACCTCGCTGCCAGGAACTGTGTGTAAGTGCAATCAGACGATCTATTCGGAGACTCTAATGGATATTTCAGTGTCGGTCTGCTTGTCAGGGTTGTAGCGTTCATTGCACATAAAAAATCTTTTTAAAACCATACAAAGTTAAAAATACACACCTTTTGAAGTCTGCAACAATACTTAATTTCACAGTATAAAAAATCTGAATAAAATCTCTCAATCTTTTAGAAAAGGACTGACTATAATTAAGGATCTTGGTAGTAAAGGGTTGGGTTGTGTTTATCACTGTTGCATCCTTACTTCTTCCTCCAGCATTGACGACAACATGCAGGTGAAGATCACAGATAATGCCCTGGCGCGGGACTTGTTCCCCATGGACTACCACTGTCTGGGGGACAACGAGAACCGGCCCGTCCGCTGGATGGCGCTAGAGAGTCTACTCAACAATGACTTCTCCAGTGCAAGTGATGTGGTAAGAACCGCTAGCCTGATTCATCAGGGTTCACTCAGTAAAAACCATCTGACCTTGCAGCATTAGGATTCGTTTGTTTGACAGTAGGCGGGTACCTTTTTTATTTAACCAAGCTCTGCTATTTGCAATGCTCCACTAACAGGGCTAACTGGTATATTAAGCTTTTCCCAAATCCCATAGGAAGAAGGGCAATAACGTCTTTCCTCTTGAAAAAATTCCCCAAACATTCTCTTTGTTCCAGCTTTAAATCCTCGATCTTGGGAATCGTTGTCAACACAGAATGTATGGCTCTACGCTGATTGGCTGGTGCCCGAACTCGGTGTTTTTGCAAACCATCTAGTATATTCTGATTCCAGACCTAGTCACTGGAGATAAATGAAATTGAGCAGAGGCACTAGGTGGCGCCAGCCTGGCTAAAGAACTGCACCAACAATAAGCACACTTTATTAAAAAGAGACAAGTGGATGTGGCAAAGTACCAGATTTTGTGGTTAATTATGTTTTTTGCAGTGATGACAGCTGTAAAAGTATGCTGCAGATATCTTTACTAAACAATTTAGTTTTAATAAAATCAACCACTGTAAACAGAATTCTGCTATATCATCACAGTTATGACTGCTACTACTATTTTTCTTTCTTTTCCTTTTGCGCAACACTTTTGTTTGCACAAGGTGTGATACATGTCAGATCAGAAAAGTGTGGCGAGGTTAACAGGCTTGTGAGTGAGACATCGGATCCAAAGATTATATGCGTCAGATTTTAATCATCCTGTTGACTATTAGGAATTATTTGCTTTTCACTTAAGGGATTTACTGTAACGAAGTAGAGCTTAGTAGAAGTACATCCATATTGTGGATCATACATCTGTGAATGAAATAGCGTATTCATTTCTATGGGTCATGTAAAGTTCCTTTCATAAAACTAAAATGTGCACAGTAGGCAGCTATTACTGACCAACTTCCCGGTAAGGACAATGGAGATATCCTCAATTATTTTATTTATATAATTGGCAAACATCTCCTGAATCTCCTGGCATTGATGGCATCCCTTCAATGGACAGCGAGCACAGGATGGTGACTCACTGTGGCCATTCTTAGATTCTTGGAGCAAATTTCACAGGTCAAGGTGGTTGGATACAAGCCTCATGACTGTAGTTTCCCGTGAAAGGATCAGAGCTGGGGCGCGGCACAGACACTCGGGAAGCACAGACACCAGAGAGAGACAGACGAGAGGCAGCCCCCACCTCACCGCATTCCTCCTTCCCCCCTCCCTCACCCCTTTCTACCTCGACAGCTCAAAGTTAAGGTTTAGGGGAAGTCCAGAAGAGTACCAGCGCTGAGAAACTTAATGCCCCCCTCACTCTCCTACTTACCTTTACTGAACCATCACTGTTGGGCAAGTTACTTCAAAACTGTAATGCGTTATATTATTACTTGTTACTGTCATTTCAAACTAATTTGTTACATTACAATATTTCTGTATTTAAAATGTAAGGCATTACACGACTATTGCAGCACTTTAAGTTACTCTCACCAAAATAACTGTCGCTCATTGTCAAATAACAATCAGCGAGCAAAAATACCAAACTTTTGCGCCGTATAAGGACTGAACCAGGACTAAACCAGGACTGAACCAAGGACTGAACCAGGACTGAACCAAGGACTGAACCAGGACTGAACCAGGACTGAACCAGGACTGAACCAGGACTGAACCAGGACTGAACCAAGGACTGAACCAGGACTGAACCAAGACTAAACAGGACTAAACCAGAATTGAACCAGGAGGAATAAACCAGGTCTGAACCGAGGTCTGAACAGAGGGCTGAACTGAACCAGAAGGTCTAAACCAGGTCTAAACCAGGATTAAACCAGGATTAAACCAGGACTAAACCAGGACCAAACCAGGACCAAACCAGGACCAAACCAGGACCAAACCAGGACCAAACCAGGACCAAACCAGGACTAAACCAGGACTAAACCAGGACTAAACCAGGACTCAAACCAGGACCAAACCAGGACCAAACCAGGACCAAACCAGGACTAATCTTGGACTAAGACTTGGAATCTAGGACCGCCCCTGAGGGAATTCCAAGCCCGTGGAGCAGGGTGTCTGCAAAGTGTGATTGGGTGTCAACTGTGTTTAACCCCATGGAACACAGAGTTCTGCGCTGGTCCTTTTGCCCACAGTCACCCGACGGGTGCACTTACACGAGCACACTTCTGGGCCTGTCCCAACATTCAGCACTGCAACTATGGCGTTTCACCACTGCTGATATCGCGGTGATTTTAGTGAATTTGTATGAAGAAAAACAAAAAACCCACCACTTCAATCCAGGTCAAAAAAGCATTGTAATGCGCCTTACAGACATTTGTACCAAGTAAAAAAAAAAAAATGTTTCCCTGTAATGCCTTACATTACTGCATTACAGCAAAAAGCAATATATTACAGTAATTCATTACTTTTAATAATGCATTACTCCCAACACTGTGACCCATACACGTCAGACCAGTTCCTTTTACACTGTAAATCTTATTTTCTAATTCCTCTTAAAGTTTTGCACCACAGTTTTGGACCAATTCTGGTAATATGTGCTAAACCAGAGCTGAACTAGAATCCATCTACTACCAAACAAGGGTCATACTAGTTCCAACCTTGGTCTAAAAGATTAAAGCAATGCTAAACGAGTACTTAAGTATAACCGAATTTCCACTACTATTGGTCAGCAGTGTAAACAATGTGAAATAAATACAAATACAGTGCTTAATTTACTGAAATGACCATATTTTCTTGGTAAAGGGGAATTTCTTAAGTGGAAGTTAAGAATTAGTTAGTATTATTGTTATCATTTTTCCTGAAGTTGGAATAAATTAATCAGCCATAAGCGGAGGTGTGTAAGAGCAGGTTCAGGAAACATTGTCAAGGCAGCACAACATTAATCTATAGTGTTATGTCGTTGGCTTTGTAAACACAATGCCAGTATAATGACTATGTAAATGACTGAGTGGACCGTCACAGACCAAACAGGAGAACATCCCTCAGGAGCAGTATGCCCACTCTGGCCTTCCTTTAAAGGCCTGATCCCACCAACGTCAATGCCTCTTGATTAATACTGGGCAGATGTACAGCGCATTAAATTCACTGAGGTTTATTTACAGAAGTAATTCCTGGTAACACAGGACACAAAAGTGCATCACAGGGACATGAACTATAGTTTCACTTCAGTGTATGGAAATCCCTAATATATTACATCAAGTATTTGGAAATACAGTATGAATATTGTATCCATAAGTGTAGAATAAATGGCAAAATATTTTCTAGGCATCTTCATTCACTGATTTCATGTTTTATTGTTCACCGATTTGTATGTTTTATCGTTTAGGTTGGAAAACAGTTGTACAGTTGTCTAGTGACTATGAATTTTCTAATTTTCACTCATTTTCACGGGTTTATTTAATTAATCATTTTAATCTTGGTTTGAGCAACAGTCCACCTACAAGTTCCATTAATATGAGTAAAGGTCACACATGGGGTGGCACAATGATAAACAGCACACTTCCACTATAAGTGTTAAAAGATTTGTGCTAAATATAATATAGTTTTCACCACTACTTCCTCAAATTGTTTCATAAACATTTTGTAATGTTAATAGAAGGACTAAACATAATGCAATCAACTCACTATTATTGATTGCATTTTAGTGTAATAAAAACACAACTCCAAGACCATAACTTGATTCAAACTAATTAATATAATTTAATATATTAACATAATAGCAAAGCCTGCATAACTCCTAACTCTTTAGCTGAGGCCTCTGCAAACATGTTGTGAAATGCATGCTATTCTTGTACTGACAATTCATATTTCAAGTCTTCTCTGAAAGGTTAATACTCTTTGGTGATAAATTGTAAACTGTGAGCTGAAACCTGATTTGAAACCATAAATAGAATTTCTTCGCACTACTTGATCAAAAAAAAAAATCCTTGAACTAACTACGTACAGCATAAACTGTTGCAATGACACAACAATTCTTTGATCCTATACTGCTATGTACTCACTTGATGATTAATATACTGATCATTTTCTGTTCCAGTGGGCTTTTGGAGTGACGCTGTGGGAGCTGATGACTCTGGGACAGACTCCTTATGTGGACATTGATCCGTTTGAGATGTCTGCGTACCTGAAGGACGGGTACAGGATAGCACAACCCATCAACTGCCCAGACGAACTGTAAGTAATGCCCACACCCACACACGGGGGCACAACAGAGAATCAAGCAGCTGGGCATTTACTCAATCACCTGCTAACTTTGTCCCGTTCATTATAAGCTGAAATTACAAGCACTTTGTTCATGGTTTATTAAGACGAATTAAACTTTATAAAGACTTTCCTAAATCCTGAACAAATAGTTGATTCATGATCCAGTTACTAACTCCTAACCACTTATTATAATAAATTAAGTAGTTACTAAGCCTGAACCATTCTTATAATATTTGTTCGTTATGATTAAAGCCTTGTTCATGCTGTGTGCACGCTCATGTATTCATTATCCCTCACATGGGCAGGTACTGTCTGGCCTAGGGCTGGGTACCTTTGTGATACTGAAACATAGTTGACATCAAAATAATAAAAAAAAATATATCACATGGCACACATTTATGGTCTGTGTGACGGAGTAATCCCATCAGCAAGTGCATATAAACATTACTATTTTGTTTTATGATTCTTATACTTATTATCAGAGCATTATTATCAAATAAGTAGAGATGTCGATTAGTCAAAGGATTATTTTGATTGTACATTGAGATTTTTTGCAAATGCCTTTTTAACCAAATAAAGGTTGAAATATGGTAAACATAAACCATCTTTTGGCATATGTTTCAGGATCAGTCTGTCAGATAACAATGATCAAGATATGATTATGATTATTTAATAGAATAGCTGTTATCATTAACTAGGTATCGTGTAAGAACTAACCTGTGACCTGACCTCTCTGGAATGTGTAAACACTTGCCAAAATGTTACTCAACTACTACTCCATTTAAGGCGGGAATATTGTAGATGCCTGACATATTTAAAACTGATATTGTCCACTGCCAACCTCTTGCCGTGCTTATCAACATCCTGCAAGTGCCCACTACTACTCCCAGGGCACCAATTACTATTTACTATTCTTTCCTAAAGTACAGATATTTCTGTTTTGTCAAGAGATCACTGAAGCAATCACATTTACGTAAGGTTTTATGTTTTCACTCAGTCACAATGATAATGTTTTATATATTTTTCATATATATTATTAATTGCGAGATAGGGCAAGATACCAGCTTTTGCCACCATAAGTCAGTCAAATTGTGTCAGTTTTAGTTTGTTTCTGATAACATTTGCTGATGTGGTTATAACTTTACAAACATCGGGTCTGCCACTTCTTTCGTAATTCATTTTATTCTTAGAAATGTTAGGACTGCCAGTTATTCTTATCGTTTTCACGTAGATAAGATTCATACGAGAGTGGATTTCCGTACTCAATAAATTACAACAAGTACTCTTAGAAATTTCACGCCTCTAATTGTCTTCTGGACTTCAACCTTGAGAGTTACCCCTTAAGCACAATCCATAGAACTTGGAAAGCCCCTCAATCAGCATTTACATCTGTGGTTCTTGAAATACAAGTGTGAACAGTGCTGGACTGATTATATAAATACAATAGGTGGTAAAGTAGCCACCTAATTCCTCTTCCTAAATATGAACACTGCGTAACCCATGCATGATTTAAGAAATGATTATATCTGCGTTGGTTTGTATCAGTGCGCGGCAGGCAGATCCGGCTACACTACAATTCTTTAAAACAGGGTTAAGGTTTATATGAAAAAATATACATCCATAAATGAGATCAAAGAGAATTTTGTTATCGTTAACTAAGGTGTACTTTAAATTTAAAAAAAAAGGTTAAAAGTTCACTGCCTGTTTGTTTTCATGGAGATGTTTGTCTGGAAATTTGCACAGTATGGCATTAAACCAAATGTATTTAATTACAGGTGTTTTTATTGCTCGAAAATACCTTGATTTTTAATTTTTTTTTTTTCCTTGACATACATAAGAAATTATAAGGCATATACAATCTAAAGATATGTATTTATCTAACCATTCTCTCTCAGCCTAACTTTGCTCACTGTCTTGCACAGAAAAACTACGCCGATCTTTATCTTTTCCCTGTGGCTGTTGCAGGTTTGCGGTGATGGCGTGCTGTTGGGCCTTGGATCCAGAGGAGAGGCCAAAGTTCCAGCAGCTGGTCCAGTGTCTGACTGAGTTCCACGCAGCTCTGGGGGCCTATGTGTGAGGAGGCCTCCTGGACAGGACCACACCTGGGGCCAGGGACCAGGAACAGTGGACTAAAGACAGGATCCTGGACGGACTTGGAGCCAAAATCCTGATCTAAGGACAAATCCAGAAATGTGTGAATCAGACTGTGCCTTACAGGACAAAGAGCACATTTGAACTCACTGATTTTATCTTGTACAGTTCTTTAAAGTTTTTATATAGTTGAATTACCTTTTTACAACATAGCAAATGGCTTGACCAAATGGTTCATAATTTGTAATATGATGTTTTGCGCTGAGGGCATGGTAAACAGTCTTTCAACAACCACACAAAACATTTGTACAGATCATTAAGTGGACCTTTTTGCATTTTTAAATATTGTTTTAAAGTTGGTTGCAGTTGAAAAGCCAGCTTATTGACGAAGACTTTTGCTGAAAATTAAACAGATGAAATGCCAACAGTGTTTTTGATGCAATAAGCTCAATCCATGGTACGAGACCTGACTTGGAGAACAGATTCTTCAGGACTATTCAGTGGTACTGCAAAATGTCTCTTTTTGTCGATTGTGCCAAGTTTTGGAAGAAAGTTCCAGAATATGCTGAAACATTTTGAAATGCAGCGCTTCTTGAACCTTGGACATTTGTGCCACCAGCCTAACGTTTTTATATGCATTGCATTGTCTCCACCCAAGTACATGTTTTATCTTATAAGCTTTGATTGTTCTGTGTCAGAACAGCCCTGTAAAGATTTAAAACTAAACTTCAAATTTGTGAATGCAAATATTTACAGTTAAAATAGATCTTTTAAAACCACAGTCTAATGTTGAATCTGAGCCTGTAGCATCTTTGTCTTCATGGTCACTGCATGTTGACTAAAGGTTGTTCCTGAAATCACATAACCAAATAAATTGGCTCTTTTAACTTCAAGTTTGGTTTGCCTTGTCTGTAAAATATTCAAATATAGTCTTGAGTGTATTGTTCTTATACCGCTCTTCATGACATCTCTTCAAAGTGCAGAAATCTAACTTTCCTGGAACAGAAGTTGTCTAAAGAATTTGGCTTAAGATGGAGAGTAGCTTTTTGTTGATAAAGACACTAATTAGGAAAAACTTGTAGCAACAGAAGCATAACCATAGCATAAAACCAACAAATAAGACAGACAAATGAGATCATGTAATGTAATCCTTTTTGGCATTAGGCCTGTCGCAGCTTAAAATTCCATTACAGAGAAAAAGTGTTTGATGTTGAACACAAGTTTGCTGCATAAATGTAATATGGTACATTCACATAATAAGTCACCACTGAAAATGCCGTTGTTAAAGGTCTTTGTGGTCTCTTGAGTTTCTTCACACTTGTTCTTAGACTCCTCAGTTCTAATAAACCACAGTGTGACGGAGTTAAGCAAATAGAAAGTGACATTACGTTTGTTCCTCCACAGTCACTCCAGTTTTCACATCACGGAAAGAGCTGCTGCTTCGTCACTGCAGTTCCATGATCATCTGCGACAATATAGTGGCTCACATTATTAAGCAAGAGCAAAGGAGTAGGAGTAGGTATTGTACATATTTGGATAACACAAATACATGTGAAATGTAGGATTTATTTTTTGTATACATATATTTGCATAACTTCCTAAAATGTAGTTTTATTTCTTTAACGTGAACTAATTGGCCTAGAATTCTAGAAATAAAATGTATATGTATTAGATTTAATATCTGGCTTCACTGTAATGAAACTGGGTGTGCAATTATGTGCAAACTCCGTGAGGCCATTGTTAGTTTTAGTTGCTTGGAGTGCTTTTAACCGTAAATCTAAGACCCATTATTTAAAAAAATGTGTCATCTTAATTGTGTGTGTACATGGTTTATTTTTCTTTTGTTTTGTACCATCCAAAGCTCTTCCTCTTGGCCGCGGTACTGCCTTTTATGTGCCCTTTCTGTCCCATCCCGGATCACTGACTCCAGACGCTCCGGTGTAAATGAGTTCCCTTAAACCTGCAGCTTCAGTTTGGATGATGTTTCCTCTGCACCCATGGTTTAGAGGAAGGACGACAGACTGGATGTTACTTTCAATGCCATGAGTCATGTTTACCACACGCTTGTGAATTCTTTGGCAATAACCCAGTCTGCTGCAAACAAGGGCACCAAGCAACAAGAGGAGGTATTTGGTCAGTGGAGATGATAATGGGGGAAGACAACATAGTGCAATTTTAAAAAGATACTCACAATTTCAGTATTCAGTGTGCACAGTTTATTATTTGATCACATTAAGGACAATGCTTGTACAGTGTGTAGAAAATCAGGCTGAACTGCAAAAGTTTTAGAATATAATATCTGCTACAGGCACATATAAACATAAATTTAACAATATGTGAACTTCTAGTGTAATACAAGTTAATTATCCTAAAATTAAGATATTTAGTAGCAGAGACTGCAATTAGGCAATTAAAGACATTATGGGCCTTGCTTGTCATGGAAATGAGAGCTTTGCCACATTCATTTATTAGCCTTAAAGGACTACTATACTATGGTTCACTCTCTCTTAATTACAGCCCTAACTGAACTATAAATAGCCTAAATATCGGAATACTGTCAACATTGTTCTGTGTTTTTCCACGCTCTTTAATTGCCTCATCTTGCCTGCCTCTTACTTTTACCTGGAGTAAATTGTTGTGACGCAAAAAGAGCACAAAGTTATAAAAAGCACGTCTCTGCGCACTCATTAGCGGTCATTATCTTCTCTGCTCACTCTAGCTCCGGGCAGGGCCAGTCCGGGGCCGCATACCGGGACTAATGAAGCATTTACCCTCTGAACAGTCTGAGCTCTCATTTCTACCACGGCACAACATGACTAATTGTTTAGCAGGTCATATTTATTTTTTTTCACTGCTGCATTGTCGTTTATAACAGGTTTGTGCACGCCGGCGCAGGTGAGTGACGCAGTCCATCAGCAGGACGCACTGTTCTTCTCTGAAATAACCATTCACAACTTTCAAAACACTTTACGCGTGGAGTGGGGGAGCCGTGGGCTGAATGCACTTCTTACATCAGCACTGACACGGATACAAAAGCAGAGCAGCTACAGGGAGGCAGGCCAAAAACTCTCCACAAGTGATCCATACGAGCTGTGTGCGCGCACTGACGAGACGCGGCGTAATGGACGTACAGTCACTGAAAGAGGTGAAGAAGCCGCGGACACTGGGCTGCAGCATCAAGGTAAGAGCAGGAGAATAATATTAATATCATTTTTTTGAATGGTAAATCTTATGGGCTGAGCTGCATTTTAGTCCTGCTCATTTACCTGGATGTTGTTTTCAGTTGTGGTGAATAATAATTATTGTGGCTGCTTTGGTCTGTTTTTAATCTTTTGTTAAATGTTTACGTCTTATCCTTTTAACATTTACGTTTGGAAAAAACAAGAGAGCTTTTATCTCGAGGACATTGCATAAGTAAGTATAGGCATAGTGCAAATGTGAATTATTGTTGCCTGGAGCTAAAATTCTTAGATTCTCCAAACAAACCCTCTGTGGAGTTGTCTGTTAATCATGGCCCTACAATAGAAGATTAATGTAATCATTTGTCTCATAATTATGTAGCTCCAGTAGATTTATTATGTTAGGTCTATAAATGACTCCAGTACAACTGATAAGAACGGGAGACAAATGAAAATTAACGACAAATGTCTGTTTATAAAGCTGACGATTAGTGCATTGCATTATAACTTTTTATTTAAATTCCCAGTAAGATTAACACAGACAAACAAGAAATTGTGCATGCTGTAGTTATAATAACAACATCTTAAAAGCTTTAAGCATGAGCAGAGCCTATCTGCACAACAGAAGTGTGAAAAAAATGTAAGAGTAAGAAAATGTAGAACGCAAGTACACACCTCAATAGGTAACCTACTTACTCCTGTCCCCATCAAATCCCCAGTGAGAAAACTGAATGTTTACTTTATATTTCATATCACTGTGCACTCAATAGTGATAAAACAGAGAGAACTTTACTAGTAATGCGAAACCATCTTGCAATTTACTGTCAATAATTAAATGTAACTTTAAAACACATCTGTCCACTGATAAGGCTGTTTGTTTAGTATATATTTTCTTAGCATGATTGGTGATGAGTAACTTTACATTAGTAAAAGGACACAGACTGTGGTGGGTCTGTCTTGTTTGAACTTTAGTTTCTAAATAGGAGCATAGAGGAGGAGGAAAAATCTGCCCTATCCCACGCAGCAGGAGCGCACCTCGTCTCACTGTACACTGTTTATACAGAGCGAAGAGGGCAGGACTCCTCTTCATCATGTATGAAGAAGACACATACGGCTGCTGGGAGGAACATCTATGCTTCATAGTTTGTTTCATCATTTTGATGGATGGTTGAACAGTTTTCAAAAAATAAAATCTTCTTCCAAATATTTTAATGTTAACAAATTATTACATTTCATAACCTTAATATTTGTAACATTTCCAAATTCACATTCCAATCTTTATGATGGACGTACCAGACATTATAGGTCAAGAAGACTAGAATTAATCTTAGCAAAGTAGTTTTTTCAATTTCATTTGGTGTCAGAATTGGGATAATTCCAAATGAATTTCAGGATACTGAGTAATTCATCAAATCTAAACCAATAGTAAACTAAACCAATAGTAAACTATGGGCTAAACCAATACCTTCAAAGAAGAGCTGCCTATAACCCGTTTCTAAAACCAGAACAACATCAGGACTCAGCGATGGTTAAAGTGGGATTACACTTGGAGTATCAGTGAGGATTCATTTGCCAAAGTCTTAGACTTAGGTTCCTATCTTGATTACAATCTTCCACCTAAACTTGGGTCAACATTTGTCTTTCTTGGACACATCCCATAATTCATTTTCCCTGGCAGCTGTACACACTGTTCGGGACATGTTTTTACTACTTCAACTGTTGCATCATAAAATTATCCAAATGTGGAGTCCATGTTTGGTTAACGCTCTCACATTTTTTATTAGAACTATTACTTATGAAAAGATTGAGATTGTTCTTAAACAGAATGATTAACTGGCCAATAAAAAAGAGAGAGGAGGAAAGGTTGCCAAGTTGCCATAGCAATACTAAATCAGGAGATAAATTGTAAATGACTAATGAGTTTGTTGTTAAAGGGCCAATATTACGCTTTTTTCTGAGGTAACAACATTCTAACACGGCTTAAAGCTCACAAGAGTCAAGTTAGCGTAATATAGGACTTTTAAATATGTTTTTCCTTGTTTAGCTTTATGTTTATCATTGGATTACGGCTCATTTTTATCCTTGATTTTATTGTTGTTAAAACTGCATTAGACTTTTTAGTTCACATGGGTCGCTGGTCAGTGGAACCCAGAGACCAGTTTGACGCACTGCAGTGGTTTATTTTTTTATTTGTTTATTTATATGGACCTCATTGGCTGAAGGCAGTGCAGTGTAAAATTTCCATTTCATCAGCACAAATACATATACATTAAATTGATATTTCATAGCAAAAATCACATTTGAGTTCAAGTTCATGATTCAAAAACACATTTACAGTCCGTTTCATCTTCATTAAGCACGTGACACTTGAGATTCTTTTTAAATAGTTGTTTGTTTTTAAGATGCCTTATTTCAGTAGTGAATATCGATACAGAACGCTTTTCTTCATAAAGTTAGTCCTGAGGTAAGATGTAGTTAAGTTCCCATTACTAACAGTTTTAGTGCTATACTTGTGCACATACGCACTATTTGATTAAATATAAAAGCAAGTGTTTTTAAGGTCAGCGTGTTGTATAACAAGGTGCCCAGTGTAACTTGTACTCAGTGATTTAAATTGACCCATGACGGAGTGGAATAAATCTGTTCTCTGTGAATTTTAATTGAGCAGCAACACACAAATCTTGCTGGTTTGTTTTGAGTCACTTGCATTCATACTAAATCTTTCTGAGCTGCGTAAGACCGCACTATGGTCGAGAAAAACTGAGCTGATATGGGGCTGACGTCTGTACACTGTTTATCTCTGGGTTCAATCTCCTGATCATGACACCACCGTGAGTGTGCACAGCCAATACAATGAGCTTTGTTTGTGACATTTGTGGCAGTTTGTCTCAGTTACTTTAAAATAGTTTTTACCAGAGTTACGTTTGCTCAGTTATTTATATTTATTTGACAGGTCTTCCTCCAATTATCAGCACAATCACTTGGAAGAAGACAATTTTTGTGTTAAAAGTGTGCAAAAAAAAAAAAAAAAAAACCCACAAAATTTACTCTTGTCTTGTCTTGAGCTTTAAGCCATGTGAGAATGTGGTTACATCATCAAAAACATACCTTTCACCTTTCAGCTTTCAACTTTATTATTGTCCCAGAGGGAAATTGTTGTGCAGCAGTGTCAGACATATAATAGACACACAATACAACTCAATAATACACAGGCAAAAAAAGAACAGGAGATGTAACCGCATTACAACACGACTGATCCAAGTTATAAGAGAACGTTCATCCTAGTTATGACTTCAGAAATAAATTAAGTCTGAGCGCTCTGAGTCCTGATCCGGGGCATTCTCAAACAGCGCCGAGAAGGATGTACTGTCCCTTTAAACTCCTCAAGGTGCGAGTGGTCAGGGCTCTGGAGTTGTGTTTTGTTTCATTCACATGTGTTTGGGTAATCCAGCATTATTAGTCTTGCAACGCCAAAGCTCAAAATAATTTCACCACCTTGAGATGTCATGAAGTTGTAGTTTTCAAGTTAACAGTTACGTTTTATCTTTAGTTCAGTGTAGGGATGTAACAATATCCAAATCTCTCGGTATGATATTATCACGATATGCATCTCACGGTATGATATTTATTGTGATATTTTGAAGAGGCTGATATAATTGTAGATAGAACACTTTTTTGCTTTTAAAATACCTTGACAAGATTTTGGTGTGAATTAATTCCATCATAATCCCAAGAATTCAAGTAAAAAAACATATCTCTTCATGTTGTCTGCACTGAAATGAATCATGGGATATGTAGTTTCTGATGTTCATAAGGTGTTGCTTCTATAAAACCATTTATTTAAGCAAAGAAACTTGTGATTCAATATATTGTGACAGCCCACGATATTATTGTGAGACTTTTGACGATACGATATCATGATATTTTGGTTATTGTTACATCCCTAGTTCAGTAGACATGGGCAATTCCACAGTTGAAATGATCCAAATGATTTTACTGAAGGTGTATAAAGTTTAAAAACACAGTGGAGCACATGGCATCACAAGGTGGAATAGAGTGTTTTCTGTTTGAGAGAAGAACCCAGCCTAAATATGCAGAGTTTGTGTGTTAAAAAGAAATAAAACACAACTCCAGGTCTGTTTGTGATGAGGAAACAACATTAGAAAATACTGTAGATCAGCAGTAGGGGCCTTTTAAATGGCAACACAAAAATGGCAAGTCTGGATGTGCCTTGTCACAGCTCTCCTCGCACACATCTGAAGGTCTGAATTTGTGCTCTAAACTTCCCCTGATTCTGCGCTCACAGCAGGAGAGTGTACAGTGACAATCACCCACAAACACCGGGCTATAAATAATCTTTAAACTCAACAGAAACAATAAATCAGGCCTCAGAGCGGAACGTGGCGCTAGACCCTGCTCTCCTCGCTAATGGTAGGTGGTCTGGTTTATGCAACGACTTGGTCCCACCTCAGGGTTTATTGTGTGTTCCCTTGGTTTAAGTTGATATTAGCATCCCATGTGTGTAATAAGACATGTAACGTAGACATGTTTATATAACAACTTGAAGGACTCTAGCTGTTAAGTTAAAGATGGTTGGACGTACAGAAATCATCTGAAATCTAATTGGATTTTTAGTTTAGTACATGAGGCTGGTTGCGAAAAGAAGGGCATCTGATGTGGGAGTGGATAACTTTGACAAAAATAAAAATCTGGTAAATTTGTTCTTCCATTTTGATAAAAGTGCAGAAATATCACTTTTTACTCTGACAGACTAGACCAGTGTTTCCCAAACCTTTTTTCTGGGGACCCATATTTTAAAAGTCACAAACCTTTGCGACCCAAATCAATTGACGTTATTCGTAAATCATAAAGGTGGATTTGACCATTATTTACATTAATGAGGATATTTTATTGTTGACTGAGCGAGTGTCTCTCTGAATTACTCAAGTTTCAAACAATGAAAAACAGTAATTGAAGCAGCAATAAAAGTCATACATAAGTTGCCTATTTGGACACTAAATGTAGCCCTGTATACAAGATGTTTGAGTCTTGAGGTCATATCTAATAGTTTTAATAATAGACAATAAACTCACTATTCTAATTTTGCATATACCTAAAACAATCATTTGAATATTTTTACATAACTCCCACCCTGTGATCTGTTATAAAAAGAAATAAAAGTCAATGTAAAAGTCCTATATTACATAAAATGGAATAATTTAAGACATGTTATAATGTTACCTCATTTTACCTGAAGTTGTTTGATTCACACACCTTTTGTTATTAGTCTGTCTACATCTCTAAAGCCCTAAATGCTCTACTCCACCTTGTGATGTCATGTAGTGGTAGTGTTCAAGTTAACAGCTACATTTGATCTTTAGTTCAGTAAAGATGGACAATTTCAGGGCTGAACTCATCCACCCATCCATTTTCTTCTGCTTATCTGGGGCCGGGTCTCAGGGGCAGCAGTCTAAGCAGGGACTCCCAGACTCCTTCCACCCCGGACACTTCCTCCAGCTCCTCCGGGGGAATCCTGAGGCGTTCATCCAAATGATTTTAGTGAAGGTGTATGGAGTTTAAAAAGCCAATATGCCAGATTAGTGCGGTAAACGTGAATGAATGAAACAAAACACAACTCCATGTGTGTTTTTGATGAGGAAACAACATTATAACAGGTCAGAAAATAGCGTAATATCGGCCCTTTATTAATCTAATAATCTAACTATCTGACACCGCTTTACTCCAAGAGAACGGACCACCACAGAGATTAAACAATGTCTCCAAAAATATTTAATAAACCTTATATGTGCTTCCTGGCCCAGTACAGGTCGCTCTGCTCTGATTGGTCCGTTTGAAGTTGACCTTAGCCTGGTTATGTAAACTTGTGAAATAAACTGATGGAGCTATTTGCTTTTTGATCACAGACAAAGACTGCGTGTGATCTGGACTCTTTCTGGATACAGACTCCTGATTAAATATTAACAAGTGTAAAGGACTATTGTGTGAGTTTTAGTGAAGCACAAAGCCGGGTTTAACGGAGCATTAACTGTTCTGAGCACAGAGAGCCCGGGTCGACCTGCAGAAGCACAGACTCGGAGCTGGATTCGCCTTTGTTTTCTCAGTTAAATCCATCCTAATCTGAGCAGTATCTTCAGCGTCACTCATGCATTCACAGGCTCAGGGAACTAAAGCCAGCGCTGTCTTCTCCTAGTGTCTGTGAATGCCTCGCGGAGCACGTACAGACCTCACCGCAGTCTGTCGAGTCCAGCCTTTCAACTCTTCAATTTATATAACGTCAGATCCCTTTTCACTGCGTGTGATTGATGTTGATTAAGCTCAAAAGCTTCAAAAGCCAAATATGTTTGCCTTTCAGTTTCTTGTCACAGCTCAGTCCGAATGAAAGAAGTAACACTGACTCAAATCACCTTTGGGTTACATAAATTCAGTAGCAAATTTGTACATTTGAATGGCAAGACCCTGCATGTTTTTCAACTCTATGACTTTTTGAAATTCCTATAAACATGTGGTCATGAATGCACTCAAACCTTTTAAAAACTCACGAAAACACATTTAGAAGCTCCAGAGAAATATCATGATAAACTATAATAAACCACTTTATTATTATTCCATTATTCCACTGACACAAAGATCATTTCAGTAAACAATTTTTAAACAACATCATTAAAAGGCCCAAGCTGCAACAAATAAACAGCAGAATAAACCAATGATTAGCCATTAAAGTTATTTATTCTACCCTCTACAGCTCAAATTTAACTTTATTACATAAAAAAGGCAAAAATCTCCCCACAAGAAATTGAACATAATTAGAAAGCTACTACTAATTCCTGTTGTAATGTCCTATTGTAGTGGTACATCATTCATGGAGAGGATCAAATATATAACATGAATAATAAAAATGCATCTCTAAATGTAAAACTCATTGTGTTCAATTTGCGAGTTAACTGTTGTTATAATTTTGAGCGCTACAAAAATAAATTGAAAATTGTAATGAAATGTGGTGTTTTATTCCAGCTGTTTGTGCTGTGCCATGGCCTCCTGCAGCTCTCTCAGCTCCTCTACAGCTCCTACTTCAAGAGCACCATCACCACCATCGAGCGCCGCTTTGGCCTCAGCAGCTACTCCTCTGGGACCATCTCCTCCCTGCATGAGGTAAGGGACTAGACCAGGACTAAACCAGGACTAAACCAGGACTAAACCAGGACTAAACCAGTACTGAACCAGGAATAAACCAGGACTGAACCAGAACTGAACCAGGACTAAATCAGGACAAAATTAGGGTTAAATCAGGACACAATATTTAAGTCTAGTTACTTCAATCTGCAATTATGTCCCTGGGCAAGACACTTCAGTCAAATTGCTATGTGAATCATGAGCATGAGTGATTGGTAGTGGTCAGAAAGGTCATTGACGCAGATTGCTGCCTTGTTTTGTTTAGTCTGCCACAGGGCAGATGTGGCATTGCCCTGTGGTAAATACATTAAAGCCATTATCATTGTTAAGATGAATTATAATCAAATCAACTTTGAATCAGGTCCATAAACTTGGTCTCAACTGGTCATTTTCCTCCTGCCAGGAGCCAACATAAACACATCCCAAGATAGAGATAGCTTTATTTCAAGGTTACCGATGACAACAGAGGAACTGGGGAACAGGCAGCACTTCCTCACATACAAGAGGACTGTGTGTATTTTGGAAAAGTTTACCGCTGATTAAACACAGGATTGTTTAATGAGGAAAATTACTGGGCTATTTCACCTTACCTCTGCACGCCGAAAATCAATCAAGTAATTTTGTGCATTTAAAGGTCACCATGTAACTTATTCCACATTATGACATTTTACTAATCTCAAACAGGAGACGCCATCTGACCAAGTTACAGGTCAGGTCTGAAAAAAATGTAGAAAGTTAAGTTTAATGCCGTACTGTAGTGCATTCCAGACAATCCAATTCACTTTATTTCTATTGCACATTTCACAAACAAACAGTTTCCAAAGTGCTGCACAAATTAGGGGTGTCAAATTATCGCGTTAATTGCGATTAATTAATTACAGTCATATTTAGCGCGTTATGTTTTTTAATTGCGTTAATCTCATTTTTAATCTCTAACTTTACTGTTTCTGTATGCGAGTTGCTTTATTATAAAACCTGTTTTTATGTGTTGTTAGGACAATAACACACACACACACAAAAACCACATTTATACATTTTTTTTTTTTCGGTAATTCCACTCATTGCCGGAAACCCACACAAAACGCGCGCAGTAAGAGCGATGTGAACGTCATGTTAAAGTTGGCGGCGTCAGGCACAATGGACGAGGTCGTAGAGCCAGTAGAACAGAGGCAGCAGTGCACAGGTAAAAACACATTCGTGTCTTGGAAATTATTCTCCCGACGTGAAATATAAAAGAAAATAACTAATATAATATCGCCTACAACTTAAATGTCACTGGTGAAAACAACGTGCATAGGCTCATGATGTCTGCACTACTGTCCTATAGTGACCTGCCACATGAGGGGACACACACGCAAACACACACACAAACACAAACACAAACACAAACACACACACAAACACACACACACACAAACACAAACACCTTCATCATGGTCATTAACCTGAGAACGCGCGGACCACGTTTCCTCCCGTAGACACTGCGCGGACACCGACGTGCTCCCGTGAGCCGCGTGTGGATCGTGTTTTCTCGCGTATACGCGGCGTAAACCGAGCTTCCTCCTGTGCGCCTCTAAACCAGAACTAACACCAAGACTAAAACCAGGACTAATCCAGTCCAGGACTAAACCAGAACTAAAACTAGAACTAAAACCAGGTCTAAACCAGGACTAAACCAGAACTAAAACCAGAACTAAAACCAGGACTAAACCAGGACTAAACCAGAACTAAAACCAGGTCTAAACCAGGACTAAACCAGGACCAAACCAGAACTAACACCAGGAGTAAAACCAGGATTAATCCATTCCAGGACTAAACTAGGACTAAAGTAGGACTAAAGCAGGTCTAAACCAGGACTAAAACAAGGACTAAAACCAGTGATGTCATATATAAAGCATTTCTCTATCAATAATATTTTTAATATAGTTAAGGAAAGACTGGACTTTTTATTGTCTTTAAGTAGACAAAAGTTATTATGTTCAGATTTCCTCGTCTTTGCTACTTTACAGCAAACAGTTTCTTATTCATGGAGACTTGGGCTCAACAGCCAATTTGGAGAGATTTGTTAAACAATAAATTACTTTATAAAGTCACTTTTTTTGTTCTATATCAGTCTTTTGATCTGCCACAATAATGTAATAATGAATTTAAATGAAAATACCTCAAATTGAAGGCTTTTCTCAGCCATTTTTAGGTGAGATTAAAATGAGATTAATTAGATTAATTAATTACAGATCATAATTAATTAATCTCTCAATTTTTTTAATCGCATGACAGCACTAGCACAAATACATAATAATAACAACAATAATAAAAATGATAAAATAAACGCTCAGTTTGAATCATACTCGTCTTAAAATAATAAAACCAGTAAAATAAAATAAGAGCAAAATCATAGAACAGCAATAAATAAAACCAATAAAATACATAAAAAATAAATAAAATAAATGAAAGACACAGAGAACCACACAACTCACGTGGTGTTAAAAGCCAGAGAGTAAAAATGGGTTTTAAGACTAGAGAAGGCATTAACATCTCCAATGAAGCAAACTCTCCAGTAGAAATTTGACATAATGCACCTTTAACTTTTTACCGACTCAACTTTATATAAACCAGGTGTAGACCAGGTCAATAGAGCTGAACCAACCCTAAGTGAGCTGTGTATACTGTACTTTATTCAGCTGCATGAGCCTCTGTGTAAGATCAGAATGACTCAGGGTTTGGCTCTGAGCTCGGTCACAGGTCGATAACTGCGAATGAAATCATTGTGCTGACACTTTGTTCAGTATCTTTTCTCTGTCAGTTCAGACGTCATCGGGAGAATCAAGTTACAACTCCAGATTTGTCTATTTCACAGCTTTTGAAATCTGAAAACAAAAAGTATATATATATATATATATATATATATATATATATATATATATATATATTATATATATTTTTATTTTTTTTTTTAATTTTTTTTCTAGCTTCACTATTACCCAGCTAATAATTTAACAACAGTTTACAACAGTTTAATTAAGTAAATTTAACACTGTTGCATATTGACATATTGTTTATTTGAATACATTTGTCCACTTGTCTTCTATGCAAACCTTAAAGGGTCCATATTACACTATTTTTTTTAAATCTATTTTTAAATGCTTTCTCATCAAAAATATAACTTGAATTGTGTTTTATTTAAATAAAACACATGTTTAACACACAAACCCTACATATTTAGGCTTTCTCAAACAGAAAACACTCATGATGTCATGTGGTAATACAGGAAGTGTTTCATGTTTTTTAAAAGTCCATACACTTCTGCTAGAATAATTTGGATAATTTAAGCCCTGGAATTTCCTGTTTCTACTGAACTAAAGGTAAAATGTAGATGTTAACTTGTTAAGGTTTGGAGCTACAGACAGACTAATAATGCAGGATTACTCAAAAATGTGTAAATGAAATGAAACACAACTCCAAGTATGTTTTTGATGATGTAACAACATTATAACATGTCTTAAAGCTCACCAGAGTTAATTATTGCCTAATATTTACGACCTTTAATGTAAGTATGTTGTCTTGTGTGTGTGTTTCGTCTTCAGGTGAGCAACACGGTGCTGATCGTGTTTGTGAGTTACTTTGGCCACAGAGTTCACAGACCGCGTTACATTGGAGTGGGAGGGCTGTTGATGTCAGTGAGCGCCCTCATCCTCACTCTACCTCACTTTTTGTCCGACCCATACGAATACGACTCAGTGCTGCACAGTGAGTATTGATTTAAAAAAACATGGAAACTGACTGACTTTGGACTACTATATACAGAGCGAACTTTTTCTCTGTCTCTGTAATCCTTTAGCTCTCCACATGGGGTCCATAGCAAAATAAGACTGAATTCTGTCACTAGTTTTAAAGTGAATACGTTTCAACACTCATCCAGAAGCTTATTCAATTCTGATGCAGCTCTGGTAAGGGACTGGCTTAAATATATTTCTCTGAAGTGAGGCGCTCTGAAAGTATCACACCTAGCAGTTTTTAGGTTACGTTAGAAGTAGAAGTTCTATCAAACGTTTGGGCCAAAAATGGGCCAGCAGTGGTGGGCCAACAGAGGATGACTCAGAAACATCTTACCCATCCTGACATTTTTATAGTTCAAACCTGTAGGAATGATAACTTGTATATACATGTCGATACCAGAGCTACTTTGGAATGAATACAGCCTTATCATATAGCATTTATACATGATCTTTTGCAATGTATGATCATTTCTTGAGAATAATGAGTAGACTAGAGTTCTGGATTAAACTCCTGTGATTGGCTGATGTTGCACACAGAGCACAGACTTCTCACAGGGCTGTGCTGAACCCTCTGGCACCACAGTGACAGTGTGACCCGTCCCACATGAACAAATCAGCCTGAAATATTTATGAACCAAAGCTCACCACCTCCTCAGTCGCTCTCCATAGCACACAGCTTTAGCCTCAAAAATATCTGTGCTTTGGATTCAAGTTTGGAGCTGGTGTTTGGAGAAAAAAATGTGTGGTTTAACAATGCAAATGTAGAATGATTCTCAAATCTAGTCCCAGTAAATAGTCAGCTGGTTTTATTCTTATTAGCTCTAGTTTGGTTCTGGTTGGGTGCTGGTTTAATTACTTTTTTAGTTGAGTTCTGGTTAAGTTTTGGTTAACGGACAGATATGTAAATCATTGTTTGGTCCTGGTCATGTACCATAGATTTGAAACACTTCTTTAGACTTCTTTCAACTTATTTCAAGGGCTTAGTTCAGTCTTTGGCCCTACCTCCTCAGTCTTTATCTAAGCACTTGCATTAGTAATGTGTGGAAGAAGATGATACTTGGAAAGCTAAAAAAATTCTAATGTGAAGACTAGGAAATGCCTTATTAAAACTGTCTGTGCTCCCAAAATGAACTCTACTTAACAGGATTATTATCTCCCTGACTCCAGCTCCAAAATGAGAATCACCTCCAGGGCTTTTCATTTCAAATATTTTTCTCTCTCCTGTCACTTTTATTTTGCTCTTAGACCTCGTCCTGTGCCTCCTCCAGTGGGTCAGACATCCTTCAGGAAATTAAACCCTGAAATTACCACATCTCCTTCCTTAGCAGACTTCTAAATGAACCAATTTGCATTTTAAAGATACAGTCATATTTTGGTGGTAGTTTCTTCCACATTATAAAACATTTTACAGTGTATTGTAGTGTCTAAAATTTCTATTGTATTAGACTATTTATATTATGACACATATGACACATTAATTGACAGCATAAAGTGGTAAGTGGGAAAGAAAACAATACTTTTACTTTTAAGATCTCAAGTCTATTACCAGAACTCATAATTCATTTGATGTGTCCAGCTCTTGCGCTTATTTTTTAAACTCAATATAACTTTCTGTTCTTCAGACCGCCATGACATCTGTAATCTGCACAGTAACTCCACCCAGCCCGAGTCATGTGGTCGCGACGATACGAAGCGATTGGCCGAGAGCAGCACCCTGTGGCTGCTCATGGGCATCGCTCAGCTGCTGTTCGGGGTCGGGTCGGTGCCCATTCAGCCGTTTGGCATCTCCTACATCGACGACTTCGCTCGCCCCGGGAACTCTCCTCTCTATATAGGTGAATGGTCACAACATGCTCTGTGGAGATACTAGAAATATTTCTGTATTACGAAGAGGTGTAGCAAAAATATACATACAGTGTGTACATTTTGGTTGCACAAATAGTGGAATTTGTTTTAATTTGATGGCTTGTATGTCATTTTAGTAGCTTTTATATATATTTTTTTGCTTTTGTAACTGCAATATAAGCTGTGCAAATATTACATAGTATTAGTGTTAGTATTAGTACAGTATTAGTACCAGTAAGCATTTTATTTGTAGCTTTTTGCAAGTAACTGATTTAGTTATCATAATTACGTTACATAATTATTAGTTTAGTTAGTTTTTGTTTAAGTAATAGAACCTGATCTTTCAAATTATTAGTCGTGCTCTTACTATTTTCACACACAAAAAATTCAAATAATTGTGTACCATAAAATGTCCACAGTACTATCACATGTCTATATTCCTAAACACATTGTCCATTCTTTCCCAGCCATCCTGTTTGCCATCTCCGTGTTCGGCCCTGCCTTTGGTTTCCTGCTGGGTTCTGTTATGCTTCGTATCTACGTGGACATCAACAGATCTGACTTAGGTAACACTTTATTTACCTTCTCTGTCTCATCCCCCCGCCCCCTGTTGTGTGATATCTAACCCACTCCCTGCCTCCTCCTCTCTCTGCTCCTGTTCAGAGGCCGAGCTTGAGCTGAATCCATCTGATCCGCGTTGGGTCGGGGCCTGGTGGATGGGCCTCCTCATCACCTCGGGCTGCCTCTTCCTCACCTCTCTGCCCTACTTCTTCTTTCCTCGCAGAATGCCTCCAGTGCAAAATGTACGACCATGTTTTTTAAATGCATAAATGCTCCTGAGATTAGAGCTTCTTCTCGTGCTACTCAGGGTCCTCAGCAGTTTTAGTGTTTGTTTTAATAAGATACACATTTCAGATATATGAAACACAGGCACAACAGGCTCCAGCTACGAAGTCCTGACCAATTACCTCTAGTTCAAGATACTGACGATTGTCTATATTTATCGAGCTATACTGACCTCTACTGGCCACAAGCAGAAGTGAATGCTTGGCTTCCTTTAAAAGAAAAAAAGTAAAATGCTTTGTAAGCCAGAAAAGGCAATACTAGTTGAAGCTCTATTGCTTATCACCTTATTTGAAACTTGAGGCACTATTGACTTCAATCTAAGTGTTGGAAAGTAACCAAGTGCCAAAAACACAAATACAGAATACTTTTTGAGTGAATACAGAGTGCAGGTTTTTTATTGATGGTATTCAGAATGCACTGCTGTGTTCTACCAAGGGCACTCACTGCCAGCTTATTCCTTGTTATCTTTATCTTTGTCATCAGTCTCCCTACAACCATACTGAGGCTTCATGGGTTGCCTTCTGATGGTAAATAAACCTGCGTTAGAACTCCAACCTCATGCCTCTTCTTACAACTTTCTGTCTACTTCAGTGTATTCTACAACACTATCAAAAATAGAAAACACAGCTCTTGCAGTGTGTGTATATGCATTTTCCTTCTCTAATCAGTAATAAATATAATAGATATATATTATATTATTATATAGAATATAATAAAAGTAATAAATAAATGTAAAGCAAACAGTCCAAGAACCAAGTGGTTTTAATGTATGTAGTGAAAGAGGACATGAAGAGGATTCAGATGACAGTGTTAGATGAATGCCCAAAATCATGTTAAATTCAAACAGAATATGACCATGTCAGTATAAGCCCTTACAAGCAAGTGCAAATGTTTTGTTGCAAAAGGTTTTGCAATTTCCTGTTTATTTAATCCTGTAATGGTTTGAACATTATAGCTTTGCATGTTGCTGTGTCATTTTAATAGTGAAATCTCCTGGTCTTTTGTAACTGCCTTGTAAAATTCATGAAAGCCTTTGGAGTCAGACGCTGAAAATCCCAATTATGTTTTTGACAGCTCCTGTTTTGATAGCATGGGCTGCTTGGTGCAGTTATTGCTTTGAGCTTTTTAGTTCAGTCAAATGTCACCATGTCGTGATGAATGCTACATAAAAAGACTTCAGAAAAGAGAGAGTAAAAAGAATTTCTGTTTGACAAATCCAATCACCCGAGGAATAACTGAGCAGGAGGGAACATGTAGGGTCTGAAGACAGGCTTTGAATTGGGCAAGTGCAGATACAACAAGAAAGTAAAGGCTTGATTATAGTCTGGTATCTGGATCAGTCCTGGTTTAATCTTTAGTCTAGACCTGATTTTGTGTTGTTTTAAACTTTTTTTAAGTATTTCTTTTTGTTTTTGTTAGGTGGTTGAACCTGAAAATGACGTAAGCAGTGATCTGAAGAAACCAGATGTGTCTTTACTGGAATTTCTCAAAAGTAAGTAAAAAAACAGGGAATTATGGTAACTAAAAGTATTGAAACTGACTATAAGCACCTTTATTTGCTCTAACAGGTTTTAACTTTTCACAGCCTCTAAGGAATAAACATATGAATTGTAGAATAGGCTATTATTCTAAAAAAATTTCACATATCAAGTTTTAATGTTGAGTTAGTCCAGATATTGGCACACTTTAATTATTTAAGATACTTAAAAAGAAGACAATTATATCCAATGTTTAAAAAATGTGAAAATTAAATGACTATTAGGCCTAAGCTTCTTGACTTTAAATCCTCTCGTCTTTTGGCTCAGTGTTTCCGCGGATGTTCGTGCGCCTCCTTCTCAGTCCTCTCTTCCTCCTCCTGGTTCTGGCTCAGTGCTGTTTCTCCTCGGTGATCGCAGGACTCGCCACTTTCCTCAACAAGTTCCTGGAGCGTCAGTATGGCGCCTCAACGGTCTCTAGCAGCCTGCTAGTAGGTATGTTTACCTCTGAATATAGGATTTTAATTATATACTATACAGCCTCTGCTTTTATGAGTGAAAAGAGATAAGGAAATGATTGGGTTGGTGTTTTTTTTATTGTATGTTATTGTTGAATTGTGTAAAGTGCATTAGGAAGCAGTAATTTCCCTACATGTAGTGAATATATGTGAATATAGATTTTGAACTTAATTACGATCAAAAGAATGTATTAGTGGTACCTCTTGATTCTCGATCTTCCAGGTGAAGTCTCAGTTTAGTCCTGGCTTATTTTACTCAGTTACCTGCTTTTGCGGATAGCATTCTGGTTCAGACCCAGTTTAGTCCTGGTTTGGTTAAAAAAGTAAAAGAACCTATGTTTGTCCCACAATATAATATGGTTTATATAATATGTATGTATATGTTTGTAGTTTTGTCCCAGTTTATGGTGGCTTTCATCAAGTAAAAGAAAAGTAAACTTTCTAAGATCTAATATTTATGGAGTTATGGAGTTTTATATCCTTGTTTTTCTTCCCAGGTGCTGTGAATCTGCCTTCTGTTGCTGTGGGGATGCTGATTGGAGGAGTGATCATGAAAAAGACCAATCTCTCTCTAAAAACCATCCCTCGTTTCTCTGTGTTCATGCTGGTCCTGTCCACACTCGTCTGCGTCCCGCTCTTCTTCATGGGCTGTCCCACACAGAAAGTGTCTGAGGTCAACACGCGTCAGGATGGGTGAGTGAAGACAACAGTTTTATAATGATCAAATATTTGAACAAATACTCTTTTGTTTGACATTGTAAATGAACTCCCTCTTTAGGTCGATGCCCAGGTGTTACTCCAACTGCTCATGTCCCACCAGTGCCTTCCACCCCGTGTGTGGGTCCGATGGTGTAGAGTACATCTCCCCTTGTCACGCCGGCTGCACCAACTTCACCAAAGTTCCCAACAACACACACAAAATCCAGGTGAGCCTTTAAAACCTTTATTTAACTGTGAATGCTTTTACAAGAGAATCCTGGCCCTTGAATGCAACTTAATTTGTTTTTGTGGCACTATTGGCTTTCCATACTCCATTTGGGCCCTTGTTGGTGTGATTACATATTGAATAGGCAGCTTAGTCCTAGGACGGCTATAGACAAAAGCACTTCGCTACCACCAATGAACGCGACTGTGGAGTGAATACTTGACTTTGCATGCCTTGAAAAACTCACTATTTCCATAATGTCTGTATAACTTACCAGTGAATAAAGTATATTGTATTCCTTCTCGTCTCCACAGATGTATACAAATTGCAGGTGTATCCCAGGTGCTCAGGGATACGCCTATCCCACCTCTTGTGCAAACAGCTGCCCTCACCTCCTCATCCCCGTCATCCTGGTCATTTCTGTGGCTGCTCTCATCGCCTGCTTCACCCACAACCCCATGTACATGATGGTGCTCAGGTAAGACAGAAGTACACTTACGTAACTACAAAATGACTAGTCTTTCTCTTTTCTATGGCATAACAACAGTATTTATCATTTCAGAACGGTTCCCTCTGAAGAAAAATCATTTGCCATAGGAATACAGTTTCTGCTAATGAGAGTGTTAGGTAAATAATAACTTTTATGCATTAAGAAAATTGCTTTTTTCTTCGGCTTCAATTCTGCAGCTGTAATTTCATATTCTGGTGCAAATCTTCACCCAAACCTAATATTTTCTATCTTAGCTCATTACAGAAATAGACTTTTATGTAAATTTTTCATTTAGTAACGCTGCCCTCTGCTGGTGTTTGTCTTGTTTTTAGCTTGGCTTCCTGCCCCAGCTCTGTTTGGGACGGCCATCGACACATCTTGTATTTGGTGGAGGCGGATGTGTGGAAGGAAATTCAGCTGTGGATACTACGACAATGATATTTTAAGAAACAGGTATTCAACAACATTTTTGCGTGATCTTCTTGTTCAAATTACCACTCCTATTTCCTTTCAAGTCAATTCATGAAAGCAAGTCTATGATATGAATGATGTCACGCTAAACCCACTACAATGACTCAAGTATTCAGAGGAGGTTTGAATGTGGTCCAGTTATCATCAATATTCAAGTAATGTAAAAATCTACTCCAGTGATTCCCTAAAAACTGGGTCAGGTCTCCAATGTCGCACCAGGAAGAGGTTATATGAAGCTACATCTACAGCTTATTTAGCTAAATCATTGTTTTATTTAGTCCGTCAAATATTAAATAAACCGTCTGGCCAAGTTGGTTTGATGACCTTTTTTGCGCCATAGACCGGTTTTCTGTCCACGTGGACCCGGGGAGGGGGGCGTATATAAGAAGAAGTGTGCGCGGCGTGAGGAGGAGTAGTGTGCGGCATGGTTTAGTACTGGTTAAATCCTGTTTTTGTCCGGTTTTAGTCCTAGTTTATTCTTGGTTTTAGACCAGGTTTAGACCTGGTTTAGTCCTGGTTTAGACCTGGTTTAGACTTGGTTTAGACCTGGTTTAGACCTGGTTTAGACATGGTGTAGTCCTGGTTTTAGACTTGGTTTTTAGTCCTGTTTTAGTCCTGGTTTTAGACCTGGTTTAGACATGGTTTTGTCCTGGTTTTAGTCCTGCTTTAGAACTGATTTTCAACTTGGTTTAGACCTGGTTTAGACCTGGTTTATTCCTGGTTTTAGTCCTGGTGTTAGTCCTGGTTTTAGACCTGGTTAAGACCTAGTTTAGTCCCGGTTTAGACCTAGTTTAATCCTGGTTTAGTCCTGGTTTTAATTCTGATTTAGTCCTGGTTTTAGTTCTGTTTTTTTGTTCTGGTTTAGTTTTGGTTTCAGTTCTGGTATAGTTCTGGTTTTAGTTCCTGGTTTAGAGATGTGGCCTGCGCGGCGCACTGGAGGAGGTGCGGTCTATGTGGCACAAGGGCGTATGGAAGGAGGGGTTCGTGCTTTCACGGCCCGGTACCAAACAACCCACGACCTGGTGCCGGTAACCCTTGATTTAGGTAATTTGTAACTGATGGAGGATTGCTTAAAATGAATAAGAACACGGTTTGGATTCAAAAGTTTAGATCTAAAAGCTTTTACATTACAGTAGGCCCATATTGTCCAGAAAACAGTATTTGTAAATCCTTGTGTCTTTGCAGGTACTTGGGTCTGCAGGTGGGCTATAAGATCATGGGCATCGTGCTTCTCATGCTGCTGGGCTGGAAGGTGAAGAGGACTCAGGAGTACAACCTGGAGAAAAGACCAGAAGGACCCCTGTAGTTCTGGTCAAAACCGGTTCATCCTGGTCAAATCCTGGTCTAGTCCTGGTTCAATCCTGGCCTAATCCTGGTTTAGTCCTGGTCCAGTCTTGGTCTGCACTGCACCTAACTGGTTCACTTTCAGTGTCTGTGGTTTTAAGAGTCACTTTGGACTTTTTGCATTTTCAACCACGCTGCTGTTAAAGGGGATAAACCACAGTCACTAATGGGCTAAACTGACTTAATCTCCAATGAGCCTAACGTTGTCTACACGCAGGCTGCTTTGGATATGAGGGGCGTCTGGTGAAATTTTCTCCAGAACTATTTCCATTTGCATGTTGCAGTGGGAACCGATTTGTAACTAGTTTGTATAGCTTAATATTTAAGTTTTATTTTAGTGTTTTGTCTCATACAGTGAGACACATTTCACCTATAATAACAGCATGTGTAGCTTGTGTCACGTTTTATATTTTTACCAAAAAGTTGTATCTGTTTTTAATCAAATAATAAATCACCCATGCGTTACTGATGTTTGTATCTTTGTTCCTGATAAATAAATTAAAATGCACTCATATAAAATAATAAAATGTATGCTCTACATTAAGGAAAAAACAAAAACAAAAAAAACACTAATACATTATATCCAATATGCCAATTGTGTCACTTTTTGAATGCTTTTTAAAAAACAAGGAATCAAGCTATATCAGGGTGACCAGATGTCCCTATTTACCTGGGGCAGTCCCAGTTTTGAGCCAGCAGATTTAACCAAAACCAGAGATCTGTCCCAGTTTTATAGAAGAAATGTCCCAGGTGTCCCTATTTTTGCCCAATCTGATCCCTGCCAACTGTAAATAGAGGCACACATTGTCATTTCTTTAGGTAAAATACAGAACAGCTGCTTAAAAATGACAAAATGTGACTATATGACTCACATTAGTGCCAAGTGCATAACCATTTTCCTTAATTACGCACTCGTTTCACAATTTTATTATTACCAACCAACCTAATCCAGGGACGTCTTAGTTTTTAGTCACCCTAAGCCACATAAATCACATTTGCTATGCTAAACTAAAGTTATGCTCACACAAACTGACAATAGTTAGTCCAGGCTGTATTGCACAACACTTGGTGACAATACTGGTAAAAAAAAAAAACTGGCACACCCCCGGTTTGTGGTGGTTGGTAATAATAAAATTGTGAAACGAGTGCATAAATAAGGAAAATTGTTGTGCATTTGGCCCCATGACTAACATGTGAGCCAGTATAGTCACATTTGCTTTGTGTTTTGATCATTTTTAAGTATCCTTTTCTGCATTTTACTTGAATAAATGACACTTGATGCTTCTCTTTACTGTTGGCATGTGTCAAATTTGTCAAAAAATAGGGACACCTGGGACATTTCTTGTATAAATCTGGGACAAATCAATGGTTTTGGATAAATCTGCACTGTGGTTGAATTGGTTAAATATTGGATATTGGATATTCAACACATTCAAAAACATTTAACTTGTAATACATATCAAACAACTTGTGACGTTTTCATAATTATCCAGGGTATATATCACAAGACAGTAATTATTTAAAAAAAAAAAAATCATACTATGAGCTGATTTAGTGCATATTTGTGAATACATTTAACTTGTGATGTACAGATGTGGACAAAATTGTTGGTACCCCTCTGGTAAGGAAAGAAAAATCAATAATGGTCAGTGGGCAATGTTTTATTTCTTTCTTTCTTTCTTTTTTTAAATAATTACTGTCTTGTGATCTATACCGTGGATGATTATGAAGATATCACAAGATGTTTGAAAAGAATCGGTGATATGGGCTACACCACAAGTTAAATGAGTGTTGAATTCACAAATATGCATTAAATCAGCTCATAGTATGATTTTTAAATAATTACTGTCTTGTGATATATATTCTGGATGATTATAAAGACATCACATGTTGTTTGAAAAAAAATCACTGATATGTATTACAAGTTAAATGTCTATGGGTGTGTCGAATATCCAAAATCCAATATCAAACCAATTCATCCGCGGTTCAAACAGCTGGGGCAGGGGACACAGGGCTCAAAAGTGGGACTGTCCCGGGTAAATAGGGACGTGTGGTCACCCTATGAAAACCAGATCACACAGGAAAAACCCTATAAGCAAGTTTACAGACAGTTCAGCAGCCAAACTGTTCAGTGCCTGTCCCACTCAGCCTCCGCCAACTCACTGACGTCATGTTGTATCAGCTCGATGAACGGGGAGCGGAGAGTCTCTGCTGCTCATGCGCACAACGCCCTCCCCGGCTCAAAAAACCTACCCGAGCGTCACGGACCGGTGCAGCAGCGGCGGCGGCGGTGGCACTGTTCCCATCACGAAGACCAGAGACCGGGGCGGACTGCTGCACTGCCTGCCTGCACTAGAAGCGACTCCGCAGACCTCTCCATCAGCCACCCTCTCCGCTTTACGCACCGGGAACGAGTGGGACTATATTACCGCTTCTCTGACCGTGAAGGCAACCCCCCCGCACCCCCAAAATGTCCGTGGGCAGCGACTTTGGAAACCCTCTAAGAAAATTCAAACTCGTCTTTCTGGGAGAGCAAAGTGGTAAGACAGTGTTATTTCGAGTTATTTTGTGATTTTGTCGCGTGATTTCAGTGGTTTGCACCTGCTACTGCATAGGCTACGGTCTGCTGATGATGTGTTGTAGCTAAACTTTGATTCATCACCAAATCTTATTGTAAATTTAAGGAAAAAAAAGTCACCTTATGTCACAGCACGATTTCTAAAAAGCCAGTTGTGACAGTCAAACAATGAACTGGCTTGGACTGGAAATGCAACTTTTTGAATGACCAATGAGTCTCAATCATGATTTTATTTTTATAATTCTTTTGTTATGACCGATAAACATGTAATTTGTGATTGTTAACAGTGTATATATTAGAAGCCCTATAGCTCTCTCTGTGATGGAAGGATGGATGAAGTTATATTTGAGACACACCCAGACAGAGACAGAAGAGATGCAATGAAAAGTTGAAGTCCTTTGTATTGCAATTTTGTTTTTGTGTGGTTAATCCTGGATCTATACTTTTGTTCTTCTCTAAAGTTACTCCCAAAATAGGAAAAGATTCTAATCTGTCGTCAGTGATCTGCATATGTATAATTTCATGGTCGTCATTGCTTGGTTAGTGCTGCAATTTACTGCTGCTTTTCATGCATTTCATTAACACATCACATCAGAATGTTTGAGTAACAGTTTCACTTTTGGTACTTGTCACATTATAAAAGCTCACAGTAGCAAAATTTGGCTTCATTTTGAACCAAAAGAAAGCACAAAGTAAAAATGATTTCTCAAAAATGAGGGCACATGATCTGCTTTATCTGATTTATGGACTACTACATTTCTTTATTTCTTAATCCTTTTTCTGAAACCTGAAGAAATGGCCTTCGTTTTTCTATTTTGAGCATTCCTTCTTTCATAACCATAATGAATCACAATACAATTCCATTTACGTTTACATTTTAAGAAGTTTGACCATCCAACTAGGCAAAATGGATGCAGACACTTTATCTTCCACCTGTCGTTTATGGACTACTAATAAGACCACTAATGCATACAATAATGAATGTGGGATTATAAAGTGATTTACTGGTGCATTTTGCTGACGCATGCAGACTACAGAACTGCATACCAACATCACACATCATCGCATTAATGTATTTCAGTTTTTTTTTTTTTTTGTTGCTCTGTTTGGTCTTACGTTATCCAAACAAACCACATTAGTCACGGCCGGTTCCTTCTGAAGACTTTATTGATCTGTGTGGGGTCAAGCATTAGTCTCATAGCGTCCCATTACACATGCACACGGACCGGGGCTTAAACAGACGTAGATTTATGTTTCAAAACCTCCAGGTGAACCAGGCTTTGTGACACTGCTCTAAAGATGGCTGCACTGTCTCCTCCGTCTGCATCAGTGACCGCAGAATGAGTATTGACATTTGAAGACGTCCTGCAGTTTGAGCCTGAGATATGACTGTGTGCTCCCCATAGAGAAATGTGATGGACTTGTTTTCTGTACGGGAGACTTTATGATGATGGATTGAGCAGCTGACATGTACCAAATATGACCTTATTGTTTGGTATGATATGATTTTTATTTATCATCTGGCACACTGGGTTTAATAGTTGTGCTTTTTTACAGACATGGGGACTTAGGGTTTGTCTTTATGGTGGACAATAATGACAAAAATTAAGATCTTGCCATATTTTTGGAGTATTGCCAACTGATATATCGCGCAGATATTTGAACCTTTTAGAGTATTGGAAGTATCGGCCTTAAATCTCCAGCACAAGCCAATTTAGTTTTGGCTGATCTGCTGCCTAAAGAGTACATACAAATAGAGGTGTAACGATATCCAAGTCTCACGATACGATATTATCACGGTACGATATTTATTGCGATATCGTGGGAAAGCTCATGATATGGTGGGGAGGCTCACGATTAGAGATGTAACAATATCCAATTCTCTTGGTACAATATTTTCACGATATACATCTCACGGTACAATATTTATTACGATATTTTGTGGAGGCAAAACTGAATATGCTACTTTTTCCTCTTAAAATGCCTTGACAATCCAAAGAACTAAGACTTAAAAGTGCTTAGAACTGTTATTTCTTCATGTATTATGCACTGAAATGGAACAAAGTATCATGGTCTATGTAGTTCCCTTTGTCTTTTTTAGTGCTGCACCATAACTCTTAATTTAAGCAAAAAGACTTGTAATTCGATATATTGTGATGGTCCATGATACTACTGTGAGTACTTTGACGATACGATATCACGATATTTCAGTTATTGTTACATTCCTACATACAAAGCTTTCTTTTAACTATTAATGAGAAGACATAACTGCACCAAATGTGACTACAGTGTTCTTTTTAAAGGTCTGTGGTTAAAGGCTGTGAATGAGTTTGTAGTTCATTTAATTAACATAATTTGTGGAAAATAATCAAAATTGGCCCAAAAATATTAATTTCTCCGATTTCTAAACAGTCTGCATCAGTTCTTTTCATAGCATTTGTAAAATATAAGTATAAATTATGTAATCAGTATTCAAATTGTTCATATTTTCAAAACATTATTGATATATATTTTGATACTTGCATTTTATCTTTCTAAACTGAAGTAATTTTAGATTCTTCTGCTACTTGAGCACCTTAGTCAGCACATTACACACACACACATTGTAACATCGATTACATACACTTCATAGATTCTGTATGTTTGTGGTGGATAATTTGATTCATGTTTTAGAGGAAAATGTGTGTTACACTGAGGACTACATTAAACATCTGGTGCAGAGCAGGCTTTATCAGTTTTTATTTCCTCTTTACAGACGGTGATTCATGGCTTTTTGAATTGCACATTATGGATAAAATCTAGCCCGGTGTGAAGTGAATGAGTTTGCTGCTTTCCTCCGTTTTCACAGCTTTAACATTGTTTTGCTACAGGGTCTTTGGGGGATTTTAAATACAGACAGACAGACTTTCTTAAGAGCTTTCCTACAAGATCAGAACAGAAATATGTCAATAAAAGATTATAGATGATGAGAAAAGTGTCACTAAAATGTTATCAATGTAAATCTAAATTCACAGGTTCTAAACGATTTCCCCTCATTGCAAGATGAGATTGTAAAGGAATACTAGACTATGTGAGGGTAAAAGAACTTGTGGGGGTATCTTTGTTGATAAATAAAGAGAGCATTTAATCTGCATTTAAAAGTGCACTAAATAACCTTTTCAGTAGCTACGAAGGTTCCACAGTATTTGTCCATCTTGTCTGTCTTACTTTGAAGGCATGCATTCTTATTTTGAGTAGGACTGTAACAATAACCAAAATATCGTGATATCGTGTCATCAGAAGTCTCACAACAATATCGAGAGCTGCCACAATATATCAAATTATAAGTTCCTTTGCTTAAATGCATTGTTCTTTAGTAGGAACAGCTAATAAACATAGTGAATTACATGTCCCATGATTCATTTCAGCACAGACAACATGTTGAAATATGTTTTTTACTTGAATTCTTGGGATTCTAACAGTATTAATTCACACCAAAATCTTATCAAGGTATTTTAAAAGCAAAAAATTGTCCTATCTAGAATTATATTTGCAAAAATATTGCAATAAATATTGTACCGTGAGATGCATATCGTGATAATATCGTACCGAGAGATTTGGATATTGTTACATCCCTAATTCTGAGTATGGTCGCCTCTCCACAGATCTCACTTACATTGTCTTGAAGGAATCTCCATGAAAATAGATTAGTTTGAAGCCATACTTTGAATAATTCTAGACAAAACAATAACATCTATGTAAACAAGCAGGTGGCATAGTGCACTTTTAAAGCAAATTCAAGTAAATATATTCCTGTTTAGTGTTAATCTTATTAGGAATGACTATTTCCTTGATGGAGGTTTGTGCTTTTTACTGCAAAACAACCCATTCTACAAAAGTAATATCTGTCAATCTGGATTAAATTGGATTACTGGTCTTGTATAGTTTTCTGAAGCATTTCCTGTGGGATTAAAACATGAAAGTAGACTAAATTGGCCTCAATAATACTAAAAAGTCTTGTCATTCTATAGATACATTTCAGATAGAGAGTAAATTGAACATTTTTCCACAATAGTTTCTGTAGCTTTTGTATTTCTTTTTTCTTTTTTGGCTGTGTCCTGATTCTGTATCCGAAAAGCTCCGTGTAACTCTCTCTCCCCCTACAGTGCAGGCCCTTTTGTGAGAGTGGGGACTTGATTCATCAGACAGTGACTACAGCAGCTCTCCTCCTGATACTGTTACTCTCACATCCGCTGTAATTGGGCCCGGAGCTCAGGTGGGAAAGAACTACCACTATCTTTTATTAATGGACAGAGCGGCCCATGTCACGAGCACACAGGAGCATTTATTCAGGCTTTCTCTTCATCTACTCGCTGTTCACTGTATGTTGAGAATGTGGGGGCAGCTGCTAAAACAGTTTAAAAAAGGAAAGTTAGAGCGTTAAAAAGAGCCAGCTACGTTAGGAAAATGGGAGAGGAATGTGGATGAGCTGTCAAGAAGTTCTCAGAGTGTTTCTGTGGATATTTTTGTGCATAACTCACACAAAGAGGTCACCTAGAGACTGAGCTGAAAGAGCTTAGAGCGTTAAGACAGCCAGTCACTTGTTACTGCTACTACTACTGCTACTAGGGCTGCACAATTATTAATCATTATTCAATCGAAATTGCAATTTGAATGGACGCAGTTTGAAAAATCACAAAGCCTGCAAATTTTTAAGTACCTCAATTTCCCCACTAACAACCATATATTCTGTCTGCATAAAAAACTGCTAGCCCTGTAGTTTAGATCTGTACAAACATGTTCTGAAATGTGATTTTTGTATTAGTGTGTCAGTTCATATTTAATTTTTCATGTCAGTTCTGGAGCAATTTTTGAACAGAAGCTTTTTAACCACAAAAAATTACATATTTTTCACAAATTGTGCAGCCCTAACCACTACTAATACTAAAACTATACTACTTCTACCTACTATAAATATTATCT